CTGCCATACTTCTTTCTTTCTTTCTTTCATTTTTTTATTTTTTATTATTTGCAATAGCCTTGCCTGGGAGGACTCGAAGGCTGACCTGCAGAGGGCAATCGTTGGACACGGATGATAACAAAGGCAGCTGGGGAGATTAGGCTCAGACACGTGGCTGTGACCCAGGACTGCTGCGTAGGTAGGCAGTGGTGCTTAATTAATGGATATTGAAACAAAAGATGGGTGTGTGTGTGTGTGTGTGTATGTGTGTTTGTCTTTAGGCTACATTTTCCAAGGCTAATCTAATTCATAACCGTTAGGTTTGTTCTAAAGAGATTAACCCAAACTTTCAAGAGACAGGTTCAGTTAACTCTAGAATTATCCTAAACGGTTAATTGTTTACTGGAATATTTAAAGTCGGTCATTTAGATACACCCCCCCTTTTTTTTTTAGTTCTCTGCTAATCAAATAGGGAGGAGTGGGAACTGACAAGAATCTTAATTGCTTCAGCCATTGGCAAGAGAAACGTGTGGGCTTTATATAGGGACGGGACACCCCCCCTCCCGTCTCCACTCCCTCCCTCTTCCAAAGCAAGCAGTGAACCACGTCCCAATTCCTGGTAATAAATTTGCTGTTTGCTTCCTATCTGGCTATTGTCTCCGCTTTTAGAGCGGTCCACCTTTCCGTTTCAGCACCAGGTATGTGGACAGCGACACGCTGATTTGCATATCATAATCAACTCCCTTCTGCCGTCCGCTTAAAAAACAATGCGTTCACACGAAAATAATATTCGCGCTCCGTGTTTGTTTGTTTGCTTATTTGTTTTTTAAAAGACTCTTTTGGCTAACTTGTTTTTTGAGCTGCTGTAGTGTAACCTGCTCCCACCCCATTAACGGCGTATTCATTAGAACAGAGGAGAGGAAACAGTGTGTATTCCTTCCAACTTTTTCTGCATCCTTTATATATTTTAACAACTAGCCCAAACGGACTGGAAGCTGCAAGGAAATTTGGTGGTGGCAGACTGAGTAAATGCTGTTCTAAACACACACACACAGAGACAGACACACGGGTCTCCCCCTCCCTCCCCTGTCTGAGCCTTAGGAAGAACGGGTGGGAAACCCATATTTAATCAGTCCATGTCCAAATTTCAGTGATCGGAAATGTCTTTCTCAAAAATAATTCCCACTGGGAGGTTGAGTGGGGGGAAAGGTCCCGGGGTTTGCTGGCAAGAAAGCGACTTTGCGTCAATCCTGATGAAATTAGCAGCGCTGAGATTTTAAGAGACATTATCTGGGTGTGCTTTGAGCGCAAGTGAGATGGTATAGATTAAACACACACACACATCATGAAAAGAAGGGCGCCTAACTTCTTCGAAAGGAGCAAGACCCTGTAACAACCATACGTTCGAGACCGTTACAGTCCCTAAAGAATTGATATACATATCTATTCTTACAATGCAACGTGCGGGGCTTGCTAGCTCTGGTTCAAGAGCATGCATAAACACACACACACACACACACACACACACACACCACCCTGCTAAACGGTTCTGCTCGACACATGTTTGTTATCAGAGGGAAAGGCTGGGAACACAGAGCCATTTTTCTCAGCAGCTACCCCCCTCCCCCCCCTTTAGGACTGCACGTTTACCATCATACCACCCAGCATCGGTCCTTTCCCAATAGCAAGTCATGAATATGAGCTGTATGAAGCCTGCACGTCAGATCTTCCTCAATTAATCCACCATTAGCATGCTTGGGATCTGGTGCTTGATGGCTTAACAGAAGCTTCGGTGGCTGCTGTATGTGCTTGGCCATCCCCAATTAAGCTCTGCTCAAAATGAACTCGGCAAGACCAGCCTTTCCTGAGCTGTCAGTGACTCCCGTTTTTCCTTATTTTAACGTTTGTGTGTAGTGGCAGGCGACAGATGGTGTAGATCAGATCGATTTGATTGCATTAGGCGATTTTTCTCTCTCTCTCTCTCTCTCTCTCTCTCTCTCTCTCCTTCTCCCTCTCTCTCTCTCTCTCTCTCTCTCTCTCCCTCCCTCCCTCCTCCCTCCCACCCCCACCATCACTTCTTTTCTGGAAGCTCGCAGCATCTGAAAGGCGATCGTCGGGGACTTGGAGAACACCAGCATCCGTGAGGTGGGAAGGCAGCGGAGCACACAAAGCCAGCCAGAGGCGCCGAGGTCCCTTTCCCAGGGCTTGTTAACACTATAATCCGGCACCAGGAGGGAAGGCGAGAGTGCGGAGCGGGGAGGGGGGGGCAGCTTTCCGCTGCCCAGAGCTTCTTTCCCTAGCTCATCAGATGCCTCCCTGGGTTTTACACACAGTTGGAGTTCGGCTCGAACCCAGGATTTAAAGGGTAAGCGCTTCAATAGAGGTGGATTTCTGGGAGTTGCATGGGGAGGAAGTGGCGAGGAGTGACTCTCTCGGCTCTGGAAAAGGAGGCAGCACTTTAATCAAGATAAATATTTCTCTGATTAACCCCCTGCGTGCACTTGCACCTTATCCTGCCTGGTCCACAGTTCATATAAGTCATCGCATCCCTGGCTTATATTGGCGGCGTTTCTCTTCTTCTTGGCAATCCCTGAACTGCTCTAAAGCTTTATTCTCAATTGCTGGCAATGGCTTGCTCATCTCTTCCTAGCCCCTCACCCTCCCACCCACCCCAAATAAACACAGAGAAATATTTGACATTTTAAGCGGAGCGTTCCTTGCCTGTTATTCTGATCGGTGGCTTTGGGAGGGCTCAATCCCTCCAGTTATTACGGTAGGGAGGGAGGAAGATTCTAATCAACATGGCTTTCCGTGAACAAAGGTAGTTAATGCTGATGCTGAGCGTCGCTCCGGGCTCCAGAAGCTGCAAAAGGTATCGAAGGAGCAACAAAGCGCCAGAGATGGCACTGGGGTTTGTGGTGTGGCATGGCGTGTTTGTGTATGTCTGTGTGTGTGAGTGAGTGAGAGAGAGAGCGTTGAGGGGTGGGGTGGCGATGGAGCCGACAGTTTAAGGAGGTTTGAATGGAATATGCGCCCAGAGGCAAGCGATCTGGTAGGAAATGGTGTTCTCGTTAAGTCCCCGTGCCCTGCCTGAAGGAGGGACCGCTGTTTGTTGGCTTAGGGCTCATCAGAGCTCTCTCGCTGGTGCAGCGGGGAGGGATTCCCCAAGGACGGAGCTGTCCACTAGCCCCGGTGCTGAACTGCCTTCGACCATTTTGGTAGGTGCTATCCAGCAAGGAGGGCCGTGCACAGTAATCACTGCATTGAAGCGGTCAACGGGCGCGACTGATGGAGCAAGTTTGGAAATGGGCGCTTGATACTCCGGGGTGGGGGTGGGGGTGGTGAGTTGGGGCTGATTTCTCAGCCCGGGGAGGAAAATCGCCCAAGTGCATTTTGTTATGCGGGCTTCTGTGTTTTGGGGTAATAATAGTAATGCTACTATTGGAAAAGTTTGGCTATTAACCCTCAGCCTTTCCCCTACCACGAGTTTTTGGCACGAGGGGATTCTCGGACACGTTGTTTTCGGAATTAAGGCGAGAGGGATGAGGTGCCTCAAACTGGTGGCGTGTTGACTTTCCTCAAGCGGCTTTTCTGGCTGAGAGTTCAGTAGGAGGACAGACTGCCCCCGTCTCTTTTCCTCCCCTGCCCGAGCTCTCTGTAGTGTGTCAATCTTCAATTGTGCACAGCGGAGGGAAAGGAATCTCTGTGTGTGCTGCTGCTGGTGTTTCTTTTATAGCTGTTATTCTCGTAGTGCAGCCTCAGCCTTCTGCCTTCAGGAGGGTGAGAAACGTAGCTGAAAACTGAAGAGAATGCGTGGAAGTTGCATGTGTCATTATTTTTTCATGATTGAAATTATTATCTGTATCGTGTAAGTAGTTTGAGATGTTGTTGGTGTTGGTGGGTGTCTATATACATTTTTTTTTTAAAAAAAGAAGCAGCTATTCTTTCTAGGTCTTTGTAATGATCTGGTATTAAAGCACGAGCTGGTCCTGAAGGAGGAAATCTGGCAAGAATAAACGCAAACATCTTGTGTGAATGTCACTTGCAATCTGATATACAAGCTGGTCAGTTACAGAGCTCTCTAGCTAGACAGATGCCTTACAATGAGTCTTGGTGCGAGGAAGAGTGCAGCACCCACCCACACCCAGTCTTCTAGCGGCGCTTCTTTGTATTTTGCAGCCAAGGCGGAACAAAACCATCCCAAACTTACTGTGCGCTGGGATTTTTTAAAAAAATATTTTTATTTTATTCTGTTTGCTCCTTTAGAGGAAACCGAATCCTAAACCCTTATCCTCAGGGGCAACCGCTGCAGGTTCGACAAACAAAGACCTCCTTTACCGCCCCCACTCTGGCTCTTGATTGTAGAGTGTTCATTCACACGTTGTGTCTGACTATACCAGCATTGCAGGGTGAGAAAACTTTTTTTGTAAAAAAGAAATGTGAATGGATCCGTACAAATGTACATAGGGACGGAGTGAGAAGGGGAGAGACAGGGGAACTCGGTTAAGCGCTTTCACTTTGGAGACATGCTGGCCAGACCGTAAGGCGTAGAGAGTATCCCTAGGATGTGCTATCACGCGTTTATCAGGCGATCTCAAAAACGCTGCTTTAAGAAAACGTCAAGCCCTCGCCACTGAGACCCAGCTCTTTAGGGGCACGCGGGAAAGGAAAACGGATGGTTTCTATTTTATCTTATATTACTGCGCTCGGAAGGGACTTTTAGCCTTAGGTTATACATCATCCGAGAGGCCTGGAGCGGAGAGGCACTTGCTTCTCTCCGACAGCTCCGGGGGCGCCTTCTAGCAGCTGGCAGCGGCGGAGAGAGTATGTTTTTTGTTTATTTTCCCCCGCGAGCCGGGACCTCTCCAAGCGCCTCGCTGAAATTCTCCCGGGCGTGCGCGGTTTTCTTGATCAGATTTCCACCCATGCGCTCTTTCTCACCTTGCTAGTCTAAGCAAACAGCTCGGTAAGACTTGTGTGCTTAACTGTGCGTCTCTTCTCCAGAAATCGCGTCGGCTGCCATGAAGAGCCGTTCAGCGCAACCCCAGGGAGAACTCGAGAGAGGGGAAAGGATGGCAGACAAGCCCAGAAGAAGAAGCTGGAAGCTGGCCAGGTAACGCTGGGCGGACGGAGCAATGAATGCATACAGGGATGCATGGATGGATGGATGGATAGACGGAGCAGTGAATGCGTATAACGGTGCTTTGGAGAGGTGCATGCGGCCGGCTTCCTGGGTACACAGTCTTTGCATGCAGCTGATGCGTCTGTAACGCGCGCCTACGTCTTTTATGCGGAGAGACGGTCTGTGGGGTTTGATATGAACATGTGTGTGTGTGTGTTGTGTGACACGCAAGCAGGCTGGATTGTCAGCTCGGTTATTTATGTTTGCTGACGGGGTATCCAAGCACGTCTGGGGCATTCGTGGACGGGGGCTGTGCAGCGCCCAGATGGACCCGGATCAGCCCCGTCCACGCGTCGCGTGGGAATAGGGCTGCCTCCTCGCAGGGGCCACGCATCTGAACGTGGCGTGGCAAGGCTCGTGTCTTGATGTGGCCGCATGCTTGCGGGGTGCATGCGTGTGTGTGCCTGTGGCCCTCGCCTGCCTGCCTGCCTGCCTGCGCCTTTGGACCTGGGCATCTGCCCTGCTGCCAATTGCTCTCGGGACTTGCCCTCGCTCCAGTCCTTCATGGCTGCCTCTTCTCCTTTGCCTTGCCAGGGCCCCGGAGTCCAGCAGCCCTGCGTGGATTTGGGATCATCGCTCGCTGGGCGACTCTCTCTTGGATTCTCCTCCTGCTCCTCCTCCCGTTCCTCTGGGCGACCGGACGTACAGTTGTGGATTTATTGTCGCGGTGCGTGCAGCTCCAGCCTCCTCTTCGCCTCCTCCTCCACCACCACCGGCGCCAACACCACCACCGGCTTTCTGACTCTCTTCGGTGACGGGTATTCTTGGGTGGATAATACGGATTACGTTGTTATTGCTTAAGAATACGCGTAGTCGAGGAGAGTACTCGCGGCAGGCGGGTGGGCAGCGACCACCCACCCCGGTTGGCTCCTTAAACGGCTCTAGTTGCCAAGGTAGCGCATCATTTTTTAAACATATATATTTAAATAATAATCATTATTTCATTTTGCTCTCGTACTTCCCTTTTCTCGTACCTCGCAATCTCCGGCTGCACCAGACCTCTCCACCCCTTCAACCGGGGCGGGGTTGCCTCACTGCAGCTTCCCACTCGGATACTGCGGAGATGGGAGGCAGGGAGGGAGGGGGGCGTCTGTGGAGTCCTGGCGTCTGTGCTCGGGCTCCGGACGTCCTCTTTCTTAATGCGGATTATTGACTCCCCCACTTTGTTACTTCTGATCCACTCCCAACCGGAGTGGAATTGGTCCGCCCGGGTGCCAGACTCGCAAGCGGGGATTCTGATCCGCCTTAAGCCATTGGGAGGGTGGAGCCGGGGCACGTATGGATGGAAGGAAGGGGTGGTGAGGTTGGGGTTGGTAGAGTGGCGGCGGTGGTTTGTCAGGATGGAAAGAAGTGGCTTTGTGTGTTTGCCCAAAGGTGGAGTCGGGAGTAAATCTCAAGGAGGACTAGCGGATTGGGTGTTCAAATACAATTTGTACATTGGTATCAAGCTTTGCTTCCCGCTTGTGCCTGGCCCGGTTCTATTGCGTTTTTGGACAGGGGCTGCGTGCTCGGTGGGAACAAAACAAAACTTGAGGGAGTAGCGACAGGTTTAATTCGGTTTAGCCCTGGACGCTTGGTTTCTCGCTCCAGGGAGGTGGGGTAGGAGTGTCACCCGTTCCTTCTCTCTTGTCTCTTGCGATGCGGTCCTAAACACGTTGACTCGGATGTCAACCCCATTGGCTTTAACGCGTGTTTACTGAGAAGCAAGTCCGACCTTATTTAGCAGGCCAACTGGCAGCCAACTGTGCGCAGAGGGACAGCCTTAGTCTCTAGCGATCCTAATGCATGGGATTACAGCTCGATCTTTGAACTGTTTTCTTGGAAGTCTGGCCGAGATCCTAGACTCGAAAGAGCCCTTTAAAACCGGCATATGATCCGGTTGCGCATCTCACTGAGTTCTGTATGTGTATAAAACTGCAGCCTTAGAGAGTTGCTTCAATCCTCGCTACTAGCTACCTTGGTCAGCTCCACGGAACAGGGATGAAGAAGACCCAAGCTTTCCACAATAGGAATTATATATATAGTGTCATTTTTATACACTTCACGCGCACACAATCCGGAGTTTCAGTTTCTTTAGGATAGTAGGGTGCGCAACATTGCGGCATTTTGATCAAGAAGTCCTCCCGCAGTGTCTCTGTGTAGACAGGCCGGGGCAGAGATTCTTTTGGACTTCCCACGCCGTGGTTCTGTAGGAAGGCTTCGGTGACCCTAATGAGTGCCGTACTGATGCAATAGGGAGCCGCTTCCCGCAGGCCTAAGGCGGGGTGTATATCCCCCTATATATAATAATTACAATTATTATTATTACTTTGCACCCAAGGCCGAGGCAGTAGGGAGAAATTTTCCCAAAGTAGGGCATGTGGTCTCCCGTATTGTAAAAGAGGAGGATCTGGGTCCATTGCTTTCCTGCAGGAAAAAAAGGAAGCAGAGTCTGGGACGAGCTACCACACCCTGAGTTAGCATTTTACCACCCACCCACCCTCCACTAGCGACTACCATTTTAAATCACAGCTCTGGACTCGCTTCTCTTATTACGCGGGAGAGGAACGTGATTATCTAACCAGAGATAGATACAGACTCGAAGAAAGAGCGCCTGCTCTCCTTTCAGTTCTATGGTCAAAATACAATCCAGTCCCTAGTGATGTCCGTTTGGTCTCCCTCTCTTTTGACGTAACTTATCTTGTGGGGATGACGATTCCCCCATAAGCAATTCGGGGGAGTCCAATTTGGGAGAGGGAGTAATTAGTCCAGAGCAATAGGAATATGCCCTGGTGTGGTTGAGAAAGTGGGGGTTGTTTATTTGTTCTAGATCCCTTTGTCCGCAATTCTTCGCCATAGCAGCTATTAAATTTAACTCGTGGTCTGGCAATAGAAAACATACTACGTAGTATGGTGGTTGTGTCAGTGTGGAGAGGCTTAAGTGGCACATTCACCTCTGGGTTCAATCCTGTGCCTTGCTTGCTTCCCACATCTGATCCATAATTTGCTGGTTGTTCTTCTCTCATTGTGGGACAACCAACTGGAGTAGAGCAAGGCTGTCGAAGGGACTCCTCGCCTAAGTTCTTTACGAGCCACACTAGAGCTCCTGCTGCGCTCTTCCTTTCCTCCCCGGTTCCAAGTAGCCCGTCTCTCTCTACCGCCTGGGTAAATTGCCCTTCTTTCGCAGTCAGTTGTTACTACTGCCCGAAGGCTGCCTTGTCCAAAGCAAACCCCATTGGTGGTGGGGGAGGGGGATATGTAATAAAACCAGGCGACAGCAAGAACGCCCCTCCTCCTCCTCCTCCTCTGACCCTTGGGATTCAACGGACGACTGACCCCATTCTAGAAGACTAGCCTAGCCGGGTTTGGCTTTTGCAGCCCAAATACACCAGAGTCTGAGAGCATCCTGAACACTCATTCGGCTGCAATCCTAACCCGGCTTGCCCGGGAGTAAACCCCACTGAATTAAACCGGACTTTGAGTAGCTGTGGTTTTAGGATTACAGCCCGGGACGTTAATGGTGGCCCGTCGTTAAATACGTGGTGCCTTAGATGTGTGTTTGTGTGAGAGCAAAGAGGGAGGACGGGAATGGGCTAAAAGGTCGATCAGTGAGAAACGACCAGGACAAACTTCACAAAAGGATGTCTCTGTCCAAACGTTTTAGTTACTACTGCTAGTATGGGCCTCCTTTCTAATCGTTTCTTGCAGCGAAAGCTGCTAGGATACCTTCTGCATTATTATTATTTTTTTTAAATCTGTTGTATAATTGCTTAATTCACTCCTCTCCTCTTTATTTGTCCACCTGATCCTTGCGGGGCCATGGGAGGGGAGCCGCTGTTTATTTTAGGCACCCCCTCCGCTTGGAGAAATGATTGGTGGATTTTTGAACTCGCTGATCTGTGTGTGGCGGAGGCTAAGCCAAGGCCCTTCTCCTAAGGCGTCGATTCCTCTGGTCAGTGGTCCTTATGAATGGGTTGTAGGGAGATAGTGATGGTTCCATAAGTGTGTAGACGGCGCCTTAAGGGTCAGTATTAGCAAAGCAAAACAAATCCCTGCCCCGAAGAATACACATTTCTTTTGTCAGGAGTCAGGAAGGAAAGACCCGGGATTTGAAATCGTGAGTGACGGGTAAGAATTGCTTCCATCTTAACAGCATTCTTCTTCCCCATTCCTGGCCACACCCAAGTTTCCTTTCCGCTGTGCCGCATTAGAACAGCAAAAGGAGCAGGAAATTTCTGGATAGGGGTGCGCAAAAGAAAAAAGCACCAGCATTGCTTTCAACAGCATGGTTTGTTTTTTACAGTGCGGGGGCGAAAATAAAGAGGTTGGTAGGATTTAGGAGAACTTTGTTCTTGTCTAATTAAAAAAAAAAAAAATCACAAAAGCCTATTAAAAATCCTGCCCACATGACGAAAGGGGTCAAAGGCGTAACGGAGTTAATCCAAGAAATGGTTAGGTGAAATTCAAAGCGCGTACAAAAGTGAGAGTACTCGAAATTTCAAATTTCCCTGCCGAATGTTGGAGCTGCCGAACATTCCAGCAACAAGGGTGGAGTTGGAGAGGGGAGCGTGGGAGGGGCAAGGCCTCCAATGGGGACTGGCGCTTTCTCTTTCCAGTGGCGCCCCATTTGGCGAGTGTCCCTCCTATTGATTAGAGACGCCTTCTTCAATAGGGCGGCTCTTCCCAAATCGTGTGTGTGCGCTCGTTTGTTCCCCTTTCCTCTTCTTCCCTATATTGATCTTACATCTTGATTGATTGAACGACATCCTGCTTATTAACCCCCAGGTCCACGCAGTGGCAACGTATTCAAAAAGCGCAATTGAAATGTCTGCTAGGCGATTCACACCAAGCAATGGGCGTAAAAGCAGCAGCAACAAACTTGAGTGTCACACCGAAAAAACCTGACGATTGCGTTTGGTTGCTTACAATTCAAAAGCCTGCACAAAAACACACACAGAGAGATTTTTATTTTTTTAAAAGAAGTAAAAGCATGGTCGCCTTGTGGAACACAGTAAATTAGGCAGCCTTGGAGCAACAATTCGTTATTTTCCATTTGTCAGTCCAGAAGCCCAGAGTTATCCTTTATTAGGGTGGCAGGTGAGGAGCGAGGAAGGATGTTAGAGTTTCCAAATTCAGATGGGGGAAAACTTTCAACTGTTCACGCTGGGCAGCTATGTAGGGTACATACTTAAAAAGCAATGTAGTGACTCTGGAAAAAGAAGGTGTTGGGTGTTTCTTTCTCCTATTTTTTCCTATCCCCAAAGATTTCCGGTCATAATTAAGTCATGGCCATTAGTATAGATGGCTTCTTAAGAGGATTAGACAAATTCATGGATATGGCTGTTAGTCATCATAGCTAAGGGCCACTTCACAATGATGTTATTCCTGCATGGAGATAATTGTGCAGGAAAGCGGGCAGAGAAACAAGATCATGTTTGCAAAGTGCAGAGCCAATGTTTATCGTAAGAGTTCATTTTAGCATAAGAGCAGATTATGGAGGGATATCTCGGGGAAGATGTGTGTAAAGTCCCACTGAGAATGGAACCTCCAGAGCCAAAAGCAGTCTACCTCTGGCTAACTGATGGGGCACAGTGGAGCAAACAAGAGGCGAACCTATTGCCATCATAACTAGTTTGTGAGCCTTCCAGCGGCTTGCTGCTGTCAAAGACAGAATGCTGGACTAGATAGGCCTTTAGTAGTTTATTTAGGAATTGTTTATTTAAAATATATATACCTCACTTCAGTTGCAGAGAATCATGAGGTGACTAACAGACAGACAGACAAACAAACAAAAGAACACCAACAAATAAGATTATTATTATTATTGCTGCTGCTGTTGTTACTACTGCCGGTGGCATTATTTATATATTACAACTGTTCTATCAAGGTCCCTGCACTCAAGATGTTTCCAATCTAAATTCTGACAGTGGTGGAGACATTAATGAGAAAGGAAGGAGAAGAGAGGCAGAGACAAAAAAAACAAGCAAAACACGAGCAAGGGAGAAATCTGAGCAGATGCACTTAGACCTGCACTTAGGCTCGGCTACAGCAGGAAAGCACTGAACTCATTCAGCGTTGTGATAAACCGACATACAAAGTAATGTATATAAAATACAGTCGGAGATTCTGCTTTGTTAGACTGTTGCCGTAAGCACTTAGTTATCTCAGTCTGAAAGCCAGATGTGCTTATTCTCCAAATCAAATTTTCGTGTTCCGTTTAATTCACTTTCTCCAGCTGGAGTTCTTTGAGCAGGAAGGATCAGCACATATATTATGTGGGAAGAGGGAATGTAGACCACACCCTGAACAGCCCAGTAGCCAGGCAATGGTGGATGCTGAATTTGTAGCCCTGTTAGCAGGGCCTCGTAGTGGGACACAGTACCCCCCTCTCCCCTTAACCTCTGCAAGAGACATCCCTCATTCTAGCATGAAAGCGGAGCATCTCTTTCGGACTTTTGTCCCACATGTATGTCAGCAGCGCACTTTTATACTACTAAAGGGAGCTGGTTATTTGTTTGATTTAAATGTCTCTTAAATGTGCTTCACCAAGCGATTCCAAGGCAGTTTATAAAAGCGTGGTTGAGATTATTCGGACAACATAAACAATGCAATATTGAAACCAACGATCATGCATAAGAATACAGAGCAATATTAGAGGCAAATAGAAATAAACTAAAGGGCAGAGTAAAGGGTATTTTTCAAGTGCACCCAAGGAGAGAAAGGTCAGTGCTGGCATAAGAGAGCCCAGCAGTGGCTTCTTGTGGCTGCAGTTATAGCTCACATAAACGACATGAAATAATTCCAGTCCAAATTAGGCTAGGAGAAAACCTTTAGTAGAACAACCAAAATTTCATAAAATAGGGTGCAAGCTTTCGCTACACTCAATGCATACCTAGTGAAGGGTGGGCCAAATTGCATTTCATTTTTTTTGGGGGGGGGGGACCCAGTAGTAGCCAAGTTAGCCTCTTCCATCATCATTTCAAAAAGATTCTTTACCCGAGTTCCATTTCATTTCTCCCCAGGTTTATGTAGCCAGATCTGTCTTCTTCCCTAAAATACATTTTTAACAACCTAACGATGCTCCCGAACATCATTTTTCCTCTTCCCTCTTCTTCCCCATCAGAAAGAATGTGGTAGAAAAGGAAACATTGCTTGTATATTTTTGAAGATAAATTTATCTTTCCTTTATGAATCCTATTATGATTGTTTCGGCTTTTTGCATTTAACTCTTATTCATTTTAATGTTATTCTTGTCAAGATAATTTAAAACTCTGAGATATATATTTAAAAAATCAAAGCTTTCTTTTACGTTTTAAGAAGCTGGTTGGCAATGTTAACCCGGATCAGTGTCCTATAGTGCAATCCTATGTATGTTTACTCAGAAGTAAATCCTGCGGAACTCAGTGTGGTTTGTCCCCTGGTAAATGGGGTTAGGTTTGCAGCCTTTAAGTTCCATGGCACTGCCTGTTAGCTAAGTACAGGTAGCAGCCTAAAATCCTCAGTCAGTAGGAGAACAACATAGCAAATGGGAGACTGAAGAGAAAATGAGGCAGGATCTGAAAGATTCTGATTTGTATTACAAGCCTCTGTACACATCCTCTTTCTGGTGTCAAAAACACTACCTGGGCATCAAGTTCAACACAAAAATAAGACGGAATATACAATAATTATTTGCTTTATGGTGTGGCTGTGTATCTTGTGGGGTTGAAGTGTTTCAGCCACTAGTATATAAGTTAGGTAAACATCTATTTAAACTTGTATTTCTATGGTTTCCTTGTTTAATATGACTAGCTCATGGAATGAATATATATATATATATATATATATATATATATATATAATGTCTTAATGATAGGGGCTGATGCATTTTTAATGCCTGTACTCTTTGTGCTCTTTTGTTGTCGTCTAAATTAACATTTTGATGACCATGGGTTTCTTTCTCCCTTCATCTAGCATTTTAGAGATTGCTGCATTGTGGGGCTAATAATAGCCGATGTATATGGCCTTCTTCAGAAATATATAATGTTGACAAATGCTAGATGGTGCAAAAGCAGCTAGAATTACATTCCCAGTGGCCTTGTATAATATATACCCTTAGCAAATGGCCTAGCTGCTTCTGGGATCTGGCATCCAGATACAATTTTAAGGAAACAGCAAGGTTCCTAGAATCCTAGAAATACAAGGAGCCTGAAAAGCCTTTGTAATCATTTCCACCCCCACCCCCTGCAAGGGTATAAAAGGTGTTTATGATTTATAATATCTCATTGTTCCCCACAACAACCCTGTAAGGCAGGTTGGAAAGAGGTGTAAGTCAGCTGCTGATAGGTGAGTGAGGAACTGACTCCCCTCAGTGCCCTTGTCTAGTAGTAGTAATAATAATAATTTATTATTTATTATTTATATGCTGCCCATCTGACTGGGTTGCCTCAGCCACTCTCAGCAGCTCCCAACAGAATATTAAAAACACAACAAAACATCATACATTAAAAACTTCCCTATACAGAGCTGCCTTCAGATGTCTTCTAAAAATCAGATAGTTGTTTATTTCCTTGACATCTGATGGGAGGGCGTTCCACAGGGCGGGCGCCACTACCAAGAAGGTTCTCTGTCTGGTTCCCTGTAACATCACTTCTTGCAGTGAAGGAACTGCCAGAAGGCCCTCGGAGCTGGACCTCAGTGTCCGGGCTGAACGATGGCGGTGGAGATGCTCATTCAGGTATATAGGGCTGAGGCTGTTTAGGGCTTTAAAGGTCAGTATTGCATTTGCTCATGCCCAGAGCCCAGCATGGTGTGTGTGTGTTTAATGAGGTGGGAGTTAAGAGCCTAGAGGAGGGACACCACACTGTGAAACAGCAAAAACCAAAACACAAGTAGTCTAATGGGTTGCACTAAAAGTTAATTATGTAACTCTAATTCTTAAAAACTAGAAAATAAATGCTAGATGCAGGGCAGACATTCATGTGAATATTTGTATTGGCCAGAACATTGGAAGCAGGGATTAGTAAGGGCATGTGTACCCTATGATCTGCATTGGGGAGATATTTACTTCACTCCTATGATTAATGGAAACTAAGCGTTCAAAGAGGGACGCGGGTGGCGCTGTGGGTTAAACCACAGAGCCTAGGACTTGCCGATCAGAAGGTCGGCGGTTCGATTTCCCACAACAGTGTGAGCTCCCATTGTTTGGTCCCTGCTCCTGCCAACCTAGCAGTTCGAAAGCATGTCAAAGTGCAAGTAGATAAATAGTTACCGCTCGGGCGGGAAGGTAAACAGCGTTTCCGTGTGCTGCTCTAGTTCGCCAGAAGCGGCTTAGTCATGCTGGCCACATGACCCAGAAGCTGTACACCGGCCCCCTCGGCCAGTAAAGCGAGATGAGCATCGCAAGCCCAGAGTCGGTCACGACTGGACCTAATGGTCAGGGATCCCTTTACCTTTAAGCGTTCAAAGAAGGGGCTGGTATATCCCATAGGAAGCTGTGTCCCAGCATCTTCCACAAGGCTGCAGGCAAACTTCTCCACCTCCCCAAATCGAGGCTGGAGCTTCTGTGGCTAAACAGAAACAAACACACACATTTGTGTGGAAATCTACTTGCCTGTACCTACCCACCTCTAGAGAGCAGCCTGTTATCAACCAAGTAATAATACTGGAGAACAAGGGAAGCCAGGGAGTCCCATGCCAGAGCACTCTATCAAGCAAACAGACATTTAATAAAACCTGCAAGAGCAGCATGCTCTGCACACTGCAAAGTGAAAAATCCTTTCCTACTGGGGATGCTGCGTACTCTGAGCTGGGCACAAGTTGTTTCCCCAATTTATCATGTTGAAAGTGTTCAACAAGTTTTGGTGCTAACCCTTAGAACACTAAACGACCTTGGCCCGGTATACCTGAAGGAGTGTCTGCACCCCCATCGTTCAGCCTAGACACTGAGATCCAGATACAAGGGCCTCACTGTGAGAAGTGAGGTTACAGGAAACCAGGCAGAGGGCCTTCTTGGTAGTGGTGCCTTCCCTGTAGAACACCCTCCCTTCAGATGTCAAGGAGATAAAGAATTGCACATCTTTTAGAAGACATCTGAAGGCAGCCCTGTATCGGGAGGTTCTTAATGCTTGATGTTTTTACTATGTTTTTAGATATGCTGTTAGCTGCCCAGAGTGGCTGGAGAAGCCCAGATGGGCAGGGTATAAATAATAAAATTGTTGTTGTTGTTAGTAGTAGTAGCAGCATCAGGAGTAGTAACTATACAACCTTTAGAAGACATCTGAAGGCAGCCATGTGTAGGGAAGTTTTTAATGTTTGATGTTTTATTGTGTTTTTAATATTCTGTTAGGAGCTGCCCTGTGTGGCTGCGGCAACCCAGTCAGATGGGCAGCAGAATAATAATAATAATAATAATAATAATAATAATAATAATAATAGCATTTAGTTGTCCTGAGCCTGAAAGCTGAGTTTGCATCTCTCCATCATCACCACTATGTCTTCCATTTATGTCAAGGTTAATGAACCTCCATATGTTGTTGGTTCTCCAACTCCCATCAGCTCCTCCCAGCATGGCCGATGATGAGAGTCTTAAGTCCTGCAACATTTGAAGGGACAAATATTCCGTAAGCTTGATCAATATTTTCTCTTCAGACGTGTGCCTAGGTGTTGGAAAAACCACCCCCCCTCCAACAGGTTCAGGCCCTGGGGTAGGGCACACACACACACACAAAATCACTTATCAGACTAACGAGTGCGTGACATATATTTGTGTGGCAACACACCACTGCTGTTGCGGCAATATCAAACACAGGAGAAGCTTCCCATCCTTTTCACATTGCAGCACAAATGTGTGCAAATGCATTCTTCCTCCTCACCTCGTCCGCACTGGGGACAATTTGATTACTTGGGTCAAGTAAAATGTAGTAATTTCTAATGTGGTTATTGTGGAAAAGTGATTTTTTTTCCTGCAAGGGGCTGTGGGGCACTGATACATCTCCTAGCCAAGGGCACAAGGGAGCCTAAGTACACCTCTGTCTATCAAACAGCTTAGGATGCTAGGTAGAGTACTTATTCTACTGAAACAAACCTGTAAAGTAAGGTATGAACGGTTAGTTCAAAGCTGAGTTCCAGGTCTACTCAGTGAATCTTGCCCATTGGTTCGTGGGCTTCTCCAACAGAAAATATAGTGGTACCTCTGGTTACGTACTTAATTCGTTCCGGAGGTCCATTCTTAACCTGAAACTGTTCTTAACCTGAAGCACCACTTTAGCTAATGGGGCCTCCCACTGCTGCCGCGCCACCGCCACACGATTTCTGTTCTCATCCTGAAGCAAAGTTCTTAACCCGAGGTACTATTTCTGGGTTAGCGGAGCATATAACCTGAAGCATATGTAACCTGAAGCGTATGTAACCCGAGGTACCACTGTAATTCAGAATGAAGTCAGATACAGTGGAAGCATTCTTAGATCATTTTAGCAGAAATGGTCCCAGAGAAATCAAGGGGTTTAGAGTAAACTGAATTGAAAGACGTCATGATTAGTGAATGAGGCCCCAATTTTGCAACTTATTTAAGATAGTGATAAAATAAAGGATTGTTTCTTCCCAGTACAGTTTCTTCCCAGTACAGCATTTCCCTAAAAAAACCCTAATGTATATATATTTGTTTCACAGAAAAATAAAATTGAATATATAGCCAGAAGAGTACACCTTTCCTTTTAAGCTTTAGTTGCTATATTTAAACATGGCAAAATATTACATCATCATAATTACTCTTATGCCTGAAATTTTCCTTATAACTACTCATTTTTTAAAAAATGAAATCAAAAGCCAAGATTTCACACAAGTCTGGGCATTTAACTAAAACTGAGCAGTTTAAAAAAATTATTGCACTGATTTATGTGTCCTCTTTTATTACCACACGCATATTTTGATGCTTTGATAAGCATATCTCTAGCCATGCGACCCTATACATGCCTGCTTAGATCCAGTGAGTTCAGTGGGGCTTATTCTCAGGTAAGTGAGTGTAGAATGGCAACCTTAAACTGAAATCTTATGTTTACTGTCTTGGGCGTAAGCCCAATTGAACACAATGGGTTTACTTTTGAGTAAGCATGCATAGCATTGCATTGCACTTTAAATAAGTACTATTAAATATATATTTATAGGTCAATAAAAAAATATGGTGTAAATCCACCGTTGACGGAGAAGTACAACATGTTTAATTAGTTGCATGGAATTTCTCCCCCTCCCCAAATGTGTGTGTATGTGTATCACATAGGCACAACCTACATACATGAATAGCTTTAAGCACAAGTGTGGTTATAGTCACTTCACTATAATGATGCACATTTGCACGATTGCAGAAAATGCTTACATAGAATTATGGCCTTCTTTATCTAATATCCGCTAAGTACATATGCTACTCCTTGCTGGAGCCTTAGATCCTGCCAGTGCTAAGCAGTTCTGTCTAAACATTGTTTGTGCCCTGACCTCACATACACACAATATATGATTCTCTCCTCACGGAGGCTTCACATTACTCTTTCTCTAAAGTTTCAGGTGTTTAAGTCTTGGCAATCCTGTTTAAACTGCATGGCTATAAAGGAAGCCATTGTGCGGGAAGAATTTCCAGGGATAAATTGCTCTCTGTAAGGAAAGTAGACCCAATTTCTCAGTGTAATCCAAGAAAAGAAAATGTTCCGGCTAGTTCTTCTCATAACAGGACAGGCCACATAATGTGGGAGGGATGCTTGGGCCTTCAGATGTTGCTGAACTGCAAATCCCATCATCCCTAGCCACAGGAAGTTCTTGATGGGGCTGATGGGAGTTGAAGTTCAGCAACATCTGGAGGGCCACATATCTGGGCTCCACCTACGTGTTCTGGCCTTAAAGTTTTTCCTCTACTCTTCAGTATGATTGGCAGTTCAAAATGAAACCTAAAGTACTTGCCTTTAAGGTGTGCTAGCCCCATTAGCGTCAATGGGATAAAACAGCCTTAAGTCAAATTCTGTTGGTTTAGCCACCCTCTATCAGTGGTGGAGTGACACTGTGGGTTAAACCACAGAGCCTAGGATTTGCCGATCAGAAGGTCAGCGGTTTGAATCCCTGTGATGGGGTGAGCTCCCATTGCTCAGTCCCTGCTCCTGCCAACCTAGCAGTTCGAAAGCACGTCAAAGTGCAAGTAGATAAATAGGTACCGCTCTGGCAGGAAGGTAAACGGTGTTTCCGTGCGCTGCTCTGGATCGCCAGAAGCGGCTTAGTCATGCTGGCCACATGACTAAGCTGTACGCCGGCTCCCTCGGCCAATAAAGCGAGATGAGCGCCGCAGCCCCAGAGTGGGTTACGACTGGACCTAATGGTCAGGGGTCAGTGGTGGACAGCTATGCGAGTGCAATTTTTAAAAAGAACTATATTTAGGAAATATATTAAAGAGCATATTGCTCCTGGCTCTTTACACTTAACTTCTGTTTTTGCAGTCTTGATTTAGGCACAGTTCTCACTGACCTCAGCAAAGGCTGCAAGATCAGACCATAATCGGTATTCAATAGCCTACACACGCCGAGTGCAGATTTGTCATAAACAACAGCTTGTATATGCAGCTTAGCAATACAGCTTTGGCGCAGAAGCCGTGTTTTCCTTGGGGGCCAATCCAGCTTCCCTTCTACATCCAACAACACTTCCCATTGATTTCGAAAGGGATTTTAGTTTGCACCAAATGTTCATGTGCAGATTTTGTATCAAAACCATTCCTGTAATAAACTTCTCATGTTCCTGATGCTGGCAAAGCTTTTATTTAGAATAAAAGGAACAGAAACCAACTCCTTGCACATTAGCATTGTTTACTGTGCTGCAAGAAAAAATAGCAAAGAAACTTAAAATGAGCACGCATCAATCCGCACCTTTGCATTTTTAAAGGCTGCGTGCATGTCCTTTATTATAACATACTGGCTGCAAATCAGTGTACATTTTTTTGAGAGTAAACTCCACTAAATTTAGTGGGACTAGTTTCCGCGTCAGTATGTCTAAGATTAGGTTCTACATTGTAAAACCAAGCGAAATATTACATGACACCAATGTGCTCTTCTAATTTATATATTGACCCTTGTATGCCCACTAAAACAAATTCAAATATTTAAATGCATAAGTACCAACAAGATCAATCTTAGTACAAATAATGCGTGTATCCGCAAGTCTATGAAGTAATTGTTTCATTATTTAACCATCCTTCAGTATTGGTAGCTTTGAATACAGATAAGAACTGTTCAAAGAATCCTTGAGAACTAGAATTGTCAACACAATATTCAAAATAGCCTGGAATTAGAGACAATGAGCGCCGTTACTAACTACCAGGATATATTCGAAACTCAATTATGGAAGGACCACTATATTTCGATCACCACGTAGTTCTGAATTCAGCATGCATTCCATATGTTCCCAGCAAAGCCTTTCCATATATGTAAGCCTTTAGTTGTTGTGATGCTTCCCAGGCCTTTCAAAGAAATGTCTCTGCACAGGTAATTTCTTTTTAGATGTATACTTAAGATTAAAATGTTCAGCCTGAGTTCAATAAAAGGGTGTATCATATAGGTATGTTCAGTGGGGAGCCAACATTGGCTACATCTCCCTTGGTAAATGTATACAGTACTCGGCAGCAAACCCAAGTTTGCTCCTTTGGTATGTGTGAAATGACTCTGAGTTTGTCCCATGTTCAAAATCAGTTAGCCATATTAATGCAGTAGAAGAAATTACGGGAAACTGCACTTTACAGAGTAATGTATGAAAAATACTTGTCTCAGATGACCTGCAAGACAGAGTGCAGATAGCTCAGGATAATGTTCTTGGAAGGCTCAGGGAGGACACCAGTCAGAAAGCTGGTTAAGAACTTCTGTTTGTCTTAAACAAGAACATAAAAGTAACAGGGAACACCTGACTCCACCCAACTATAGCTAAGTCCAGAGCCACCTAGTGACTAAGCTGTATAATGACACTATCCACCACCTTCCCCAACCTTTTGTTTAAATAAACAATACAATAAATCAGCACCTCTGAAATATCTGGTAATTCAGGGGTTCAGCCACTCATCTCTAAATTCTGGAGGTTTCTGAATATCTTGGCTGGACTGAGCAATGATCTGAGTAGTAGCATTGCTGTTAGTCTTAAAAGATGGCTCAGGTAGCATCTCAGTAGATTAATTTGGGGTTTCAGGTACTTCTTGGGCATTTGGCAACTGCACCTTTTTGGGAATAGGAAACTGTCAGATTCTTTTAAGCATTCCACATGTGGGCGCAAGAAACAGGGTATTTCATTTGTTCTGTGTACAGTAGCCGGAGTTTGCCATCAGATTTGACAAAGACTCTTCCTCCTGACTCTAAATGTGGTTGTTCTCATTCATAACCACTCCTAAATTAGAAAAATGAAGTTGTGACAGTCCCCAGATCCTTCTCTGTGGCTGAAATTGGTGGTCAGATTTTTCTCCTTATTGACAATTCTTCTGTGCTTTATCCAGTAGCCACCAGTGGTGCTGACCTGCACCTTAAAACTGCAATATACGGGTGATTGTCTAGAGATTTGATTTGCAGTCTGCACTGTTCTCTCTGCCTCACCATTTGCATGACAGTAGCAGGGGATAGTGGTCATATGATTAAAGGTGTAAGATGTCTGGAACGACTAGGATTCTGTATGGCAAACTGGATTGAAGTGTTGGTCACATGCATCATGTATGCCTAAGTGAACAGTTGTGCAACATTGCTGTGACAGGTAATATCAGGCACAGGAAGCATCTCAGGACATACAAAAGTGTGGTCCATGACAATTGTGTCAATCTCTCAATCCATACAGGTCAGCCACTAGCCTTTTCCAAAGTCTATTGGATAAGGGTATTGTGATAATGGTTCTTCCCATGCTGCTGACCTAATTCTTCTGCAGTATTTACAGGATAAGATTTTCCTTGTTGTGTCATTTCTATCACCAGACCACCAGACTGTCTACTTGGCTTACTTGTAGCATTTGATTAGACCTAGATGGTCTGTTATTTCTTTCCTGATAATTTATGGTGTAACAATACAGTTCCTTTTTGTTGTTAGGCCTGTCAGTTCACTCAGTTGTCCATAGTCAGCACAGTTTCTAGTAATCTCTGAAACACTGAGAAGCCTATCCTGATCTGATGTCATGTGAGACTTCTTGAAGGTCTGAAACTACATCAATGGCTACTTGTATCTGATTAAGCCTATTTTCAGATGTTGATAAAGAGGTGGGCACCACACGTTCACCTAACCTGTAAGCATCTACTTGAATTGTGAGGTTTTATGGTAGGATGTCTGCTATGAACCCTTCTCTGGGTTTGCTTTTGTCCCATCCTGCATGGGTAGTGTTCTAAATACTCTATTTCATCTTTATGAATAACATGCTTCTCATTTACCTTGAGTCCAGATTCATGGATCCTTTTCAAGCCAATGGTCAACATTTTGTCATGCCTTCTCACTGGTGTGCCATGAATTAAGATGTCAGTCAAGAAGACAATGACTCCTTTTATGTCTCTGAGGAGTTCTGTCATCTTCCTTTGAAAGAATCTTGAAGCACTTTTGATTCCAAATGGCAGGCATTGAAAGCAAAGTCTCCCAGAGGGTGTGATAAACATAGTCAATTTAGCACTCTGGTTTGTCAAAGGAAAAGATTTGGAAAATCTTACCACTTTTGAGAAAAGACTGGTTGGAAGTGCTCCCCCCCCCCCGACTACAACTTCATTACTTTTTAAAAGATCTACACAGATTTACATTCCCCTCATTTCTTGATGTTTGGAACCATTGGTAAATGATGTAGAGTTGGTAATTTCTTTAATGATGTCATGTTTGTTCATCCTTCCCACCTCCACACACCTTATGGAATAAGGAAATGGGGATGCCGTGGGTTGCTTTTCTGCAGGATCACCTCTTGGTAGACCAGAGGTTTTCAACCATTTTGAGTCCACGGCTCCCTTGACCAACTACATTCTTTCTGCAGCACTCCTGGAGGGCAAAGGAGCCCAGTTATGTCACCCCTTACCTGCAGAGCTGGCAGCCCCTCACCCCTTTTCAAACACCCTCTCTTGTGGAGTGTTCCCTCAGCCTCCTCTCCTCTCCCCTCTCTTGGGAGTCCCCTGCAAAGCCACTGCTGCTGCCCCTGGTCTCTGAGACACTGCCACCCCAAAAAGAGGTGTCTCCTCGCAGTGCCCCACAGAAGCCTGGGAAGCACCCCCTGATTATATCACTGTTTTCATTAGTCTCAGTCTTGGAGCCTCTCCATAACTGATGTGATTATCCAGCTTAGGAACTTGTAGTACATATACAATAAACAAAAACTGCTCCTGAGTCGACTTTGAAATTAATAGTTAACTTTATTCTCTAAGGAGGGACAATGTCTTCATAAAATGTGGTACCTAAATTGTTGTCTGCCTCTGTTGTTTTGCTTTTGGGGCCATCTGGATATGACACATGATAGCAAAATGCCTGCTTTGAATATCACCTGCAAGAAACTTAGGAAGCTGCCTTAAAGCAGCTCAAACCAATGGTCCATCTAGTACAGTTTTGCCTACAGTGATTGGCTGTGGCAATTCATGGTTTCAGACAGAGAGATGTTACTTAGAGATGCTGAGGATTGAACCTGAGACCTTCTAGCTGCAAAAGTGATGCTGTACCACTGAACTACGGCACTGCAGTGTGCTCCTTGAGCCAGACAAAGCCTTCTAATCGATGAGTCTTTCTACATCTTCTGCATGCAGTCTGAAAGGGTAGGACTTTTTGCTGCAGGATGCTTTAAAAATGTATGGACTTCTTTTTAAAGGCTTCCTTCTCTGTGGCTTCTGTCAGGACTATCCTTTTCAAAATGGCTGCTGTGATGGTTTCTGGTGTTTTGTGGAGCGGAGGTTAGTTACCTCTTCCCAGTCGCTCACAAGTTTTCTGTGTTCCCTGGTTTGGGCTTTGATCAACTCAGACTGCCTTGCTTTCTCTTATTCTTTAGGACTTTGTGAAGTGCTTCCACTCTTTCAGAAAGGACTCTAAAGAATTCCAAGTACAAATCTCTTTTCATCAGCCAGCTCACAGAATTCACCCTGTTCATAATTCATGCACAGCCCTAACAAACGACTCAGCAGTTTCTCCTGCCTACTAAGCTCTTTGGTTAGGATGGTTGCATAGGTATTGCCGAAAGAGAGGCGATGCACCATCAAAAGAGGGAACACAGATCTGCCTAACAATTGGCATATGCTAATAATATATATGCGATGTCCAAGGACTGTCAGTTGAGGGGCTCCTTCATGGCCCTTGCTCTCCCTTCTTAGGATTCTTTATCTTTAAACTAGATTTGGATCAGACAGCTTTCCAAAAAGAGGACTCCTCCCAACAGACCTTCAAGTAGAAGACTGTCACCTTAAAGTAGGACACATCTCAAAACACATTCCTTTTGGGGGTCAGATGAGCATTCAGCTTGGCCAGACCATGCTCACCATTGTGTTTATGGACCTCTTCAGTGAAGGTTAAGAATTCATAAACATCATTGGCTTCTTACCCCATGGCATAAAGCAGCAGTTCTCAACCTGTGGGTTCCCAGATGTTGTTGGACTACAACTCCCATCATCCCTGAGCTCTGGCCTTGCTAGCTAGGGGTGATGGGAGTTGTAGTTCAACAACATCTGGGGACCTACAGGTTGAGAAAGGCCGGCATAAAGGAATGAATGTACCGGCACAATTCCTTCCCCTTGTAAAGCTTTCGAGCTCAGTGGAAGCAACCAGATCTTGCTTTTGATTTAGGCGGCACTGTTGGATTATTAAAGCTGTTGGTTCCTAGGGCGGAGAACTCTACAATTTTCTTCCTTTCGTTGAGAAGCTGTGGGTTTAAAACTTAAAAGCATGAAACTGCACGGCACTCAGACAGCTAGACATATTAGCAACACAAAACTCCAGACTCCACCAAGATACAACAAAGCCGAGTGCCACATAGTGTTTTAAACTATATAATGATGCTGTCCACATGATGATGTGCAAATGCTGCTAGGTTTGCTTCCATTTGGGAGGTGGGGTTTAAGGGTTTAAACTGAAGACTTCTCTGAAGAGAAGAGCTTTGGGTAAGTGTCTGTAGGAAAAGAGAGTGGAGGCCCCACCATGTTGGTGTTTGGAGGATTTCAGGCATAATTGTCAGCAAAGGAGAAAGGTAATTAAGAGAGCAGGACACTTTTGAGTGCCTAACGGTTGCTGCTAAGGTCATAGGGACCTAACATGATTGTGTATATGAAGTCCAATAAAAGGGAGAAAGCTCATAGTCGCTGAGAACTAAGCAAGAAATTTGCTTCCAGGATCAGGAATTGAGTTGTTAAAAGTCTCCAATTAAAGGAGACACTGTGGGTGGGCACAGAAAACCATAAACGCAGCCGAGGGCGGGGCGCAGATAGTGGTTTAAAGAAACTCCATAAGGCTACATCTATATCGCCAAGTTCTAATGAGCATAAAATAAAATAAAATGCATCAATGAGTTAATCATAAATTTTGCTGCTAGTTTAACTGCAGCTTGCTCGTTCTTAGAGAGTATTGGAGTGGGAGGATCTGTAGGATGGCTTTAAAGTGGGGAAGTCAGATTTCCAATGGGAACAATGCTCCCGGCTGCTGAAAAGTAAGCGCAATCTAGTAGGTAGATTTTCTCCCTATGAAAACCTGTATATTCCACCCCACACCCCATTTGAAAAAAAATTAGTACAGTCAATCAGCTAAGAAACATGGAGGAAAAGAGCAAGAGTCCTATAAAAGAGAGATATCTAATTTTGGAGACTCCCCCGCCCCCCGGTACAATATCTTTCCATGAGATCAAAATGACTCGGCTATTTCTGATATTTTGTGCCATTAGAGAGAGAGAAACCAGGTTCATATTGAGCTTTGAAAAAGGGGGAGAGAATTCTTTCACAGTGAATCTCTCTCAGGCAGACTGTACAAAACCATTTCCGTCTTCTGTATCTGCTCCAAAACTAATTGGCAGCAAATGTTTATTTGCCACCCCCACCACCACCGCCACTCCACTCTGTATTAATTTATTTCTCTCTATCTAAAAAGAAAATGCAACATACACTAGTTAAGAGTTGATCTGGCGTAACTATTGAAATCCTGTAACTGTGTTTCCTCCGAGTATTGAAAAAGATGCTGATTCATTATCTCCCTTGGTAAATTTAGCCGTCCTTTTAGCAAGATTTAAAAAATAATATTCACAGAATTTGTTCACCCTGTTGAGGCCAAATCAAGCCCATAGAAGTAGGGGGGGAAATCTATATTGCCATTTGACGAGGGAAATGGACTTTTCTAGTGGGAAATACAATAATGTATAGAGCCAAATGGAATTTAAATGGACAGTCTGTCCATAAAATCCACAGATGGAGAGCACAGCATTGCATCATGTATGAATGTTTGCATAGAAAATGTAGAATTTCAGTGACTCATTTTACATTAACAGAGAGTAATGTCTTTATAAGGACCACATCTTTCTTTCTCTTTCCTTTTTTCATCAAGATAGTTCCTTGGTGGAAAATCTGTATTTCAAAAATGCATTACTGACATTACATTAGAGGAAGAGGGCTTAAAAAAAGAAAAAAGAAAAGTTGAATGTCAGCAGATAAGCGCACTGTAACTAGCCAGTGTTCCAAATAATGCATCATATTTTGGAATCTAAAATGGTAATGTAGCCTAATTATATTTTAAAGGAAAATGAATGATCACAGAATTATACTAAGCACATGTAGCAGCAGTATGATGTCCTTAGCTGCAATGTGGAACAAGCTTTCTTTAAATCTAAAATTATACAGTTTAGCACCTGCTGTTTTATTCAGGTGTTGGCTGTTACACACTGTTTTGTCCACAGCAATAGTAGTCAATGAGAGCCCACAAAGGGATTGGAGGACCGCTTCTCTATCTTTTGTTCTTGTTATTTATGGAGGGGGAAAAAATCCTTTTGGCCAATTGATTCCTTGTGATATGCGCAGTGAGGCTAAGAAGGATTTTATTCTCTTTGCTCTTAACCTTAGAAAATACCCAAGTACTAAATTTCCTTTGTTGTCTTAAAAAGCATGCTGGATTTTGTAAAAGGGTTTTCTTCTCGCTTCACAGTTGCATTATGGCTTTAGCTGAGTTTAAAATCTTTCTCCTGGATCATTTTTTTTGGAGATTATAATTAAATATGTGTTAGCAAATGGGGGAGGGGTGGTTTAACTGACATATAAAACCTTGCCCAACTCTGGTCTCCAATATACTGTTCATTCCTACGATGTTTAAAATTACCAGTGGATATTTGGGACGTGGGTGGCGCTGTGGGTTAAACCACAGAGCCTAGGACTTGCCAATCAGAAGGTCAGCGGTTCAAATCCCCGCGATGGGGTGAGCTCCTGTTGCTCGGTCCCTGCTCCTGCCAACCTAGCAGTTCGAAAGCACATCAAAGGGCAAGTAGATAAATAGGTACCACTCTGGTGGGAAGGTAAACGGCGTTTCCGTGTGCTGCTCTGGTTCGCCAGAAGCAGCTTAGTCATGCTGGCTGCATGACCCGGAATCTGTACACCGGCTCCCTCAGCCAATAAAGTGAGATGAGTGCCGCAACCCCAGATTCGGCTACGACTGGACCTGATGGTCAGGGGTCCCTTTACCCTTTACCTTTATGCAGAGATTGGGTTCCTGGAGAGATCACAGCCACTTTGCTTCTCCTCTGGTCTTACTTCTGCTGTGCTGCCATCAGTTAAACCATGGTTTGTCTTTGTATGTTGTCTGAACCCACTCCCATGGTTAGTCTCACTCTGTGACCAAGGTTTGCCCTTGCATTTAAAGCTCTATAGGAGACAAACCATGAGCTTGGGTTAGGACGATACACTAAGGGAAACCATGGCTTCGTTCACATCAGCCCAGGAGGACTCAGACTCAGGGAGAAGCACAGCAGCCTTGATTTCTTCTCTGGAAATCCTCATGCTCATACATTTACATTATGCCATCTTGTGGCATAGTGTTACATACAAATCAATTCATAGTGCAAATGGAAAGTACAGAAGTCATATGTATTTGGAGGTGGGGGCTAATACAATATTGGGCAGATAGGAGATCAGTGAGAGAGGTATCAAGAGAACCTTGATTTCCATTGCCCTTCTCAATCATCCAAATTAAAATGTATACATAAAGTCTGGCATTTCCAGGGCAGAAGCAAAAATGAAACACCACTTGTCATCACCATTATAGGCCCTTGGTTCTCAGACCAGAAGGCGGACTACACGGCAGTTGATCGAAACACATTGGTGACATTTCCTGGTCTACTTTTCATGCATAATTTTGATTGATCAAGGAGAGAAAGCTGTGATAGGCATTCTCCAAACCAGTGAAGGGTAAGTGAGCATGTGAGCAAACCACAGGGCAGGCAATCCTCCCACCCATGGGTATATAATCCATGGTTAAACTGGGAGGGGTGTCTGCAACTCATAAGTGGGGGATTGCTTGCAAAGAGGTTTAAGTAACTTTTCTTTTTAGATTTAGGCAGGTTTCCCATGGCAGACATGGATCCTTCTACATCATTTAGAAACTGGAAACAAAGATTACTTAGTTGGGTGTTTTTGGTTTTTTTTCTTTTAAAGGGTGGTGGGATCTCCACTGCTGAAATGGATTCGCCACTTTGTCCCATGTAGCTTTCTTGCCGAAGTGGGTTCTTTTTGTCAGATTGACAGGGTGGTTGCCTTCTAATGGAATTAGAACTGGTGTTTGTGTGTGAGAGTCAGTAGAATCAACAATTGTCGCAGTAGGCTGAAGAATATAGAAAAGACAGCTTCTGTATTTTTAGGAGCTACTCTCTCTTCTCCATAAAGCTCCATAATGAAGCTGGAATTATCCACAATAAGGGCTTCACGCTAAGAATGGGCAAATCTGCCAGTTTCATTTTCTCTCTGTTTCTCATTTCCCAGTCTTCAGTTCTTCGTATTTCTCCATCAGTTTTAGGTTGTTTTTTTTAAAGTTCCCATGAAAATTCACCAGCATCTTAGGGTGAACATTCTTGTATGCAAAATATTTTCCCTGAACCTAGGGCATTTTATATGTTATTTTCATCAATATATGCATATGTGCACTTTACCCCAGTATGTGCACCTTTGTAAGCATTATGTTGCTGGAAAACTGCATTGCAAAATTCAGAGAAGTACAAATTTTGAAGGAGGGATGTGTCTCAGTTTGCATATTGTTTCAGAAAATGAGAATTAGGCAGATTTGATTGTGATTGTGAATTGAACCAAAGTTCTCTCCCCATTGCTACTTCGCAGTATATGAATTGGGATGTTTTGAGGTTTTTCAGGGGGTGGGTGAAAATTAAATTCATTCCCTTGATAGATCCCCCCCACAGAAGCAAATTGGGGGCATATTCTGTGCAGAATATGGATGAGGTAGAAACAGAAATATGTAAGATTCCTTTCCCCCCTGACACATATGAGCCGAACTTAGCACATTTCAATTAAATTTAGCAGGATCAGTGGATAAAATTGACTTGAGGGCTGGATCTGGTCTATGGCACCAGCTGACCCTCCTTGTTTTAAGGAATAATGCTGATCAAATTGGGAAGACGGCGTTTTGCTTCATTTTTAAAGCATTTTATTTGTAGCAAGGTAGGGGATGCCAAAATCGATTGGCATTGATCTTTTAATTTTATTCTGTGATTTCTTCATTTCTGTTTAGAACCCCTGCATACTGCTCTGCAACAAAAGATAAATATTGGCTCTTCAGCTTGACTCAGGAAAATGGGCTGTGCTATTCTCCTGACATATTATGCTTCTCCAATTAAGTCTAGTGGGTGCTTTGACCAGAAAGTTCAGTTTGATCGAAGTTTTGAGGCTCATTCAGACCATTGATTTCTTTCCAGCTGGTTATGATTTTGAATGATGAGGAAGTGGGCTTGCTAAAGGTAATGACTGCCGAACTTTGGATTAGACCAGACACCTTATCAGAAACTGCATACAATGACAAAGAAATGCAGATGCATTGAGCTTGTAGGATTTGAAGTGGCTGAAAATCTGCCAAGTATAGCTTCCTAATTTTTTATTTGGTACATAGAACAGCCCAATGAGTTTATATATATATATATATAAATATGCCTTACAGTGTGATACAATAAAGGCACACCATGCCAGAGGTATTGTTGGGTGTTTCTTAGAAAAACCAAACCAAAATCAAAACCCACAAAATTTTCATTTAGAAATTAAGTTGGGGAAAAAATATATTTTAAAAAAATGTAGAAGATCCTTAACTATTGAGCAAGTCTGGACATGCAAGTGTAACCGAATCATACTCAGAAATTAATATATGTGTCTGTATTTGATTAGAATGTGGTCAGAAGCTTGAAAGGCTTTCATGTATGAGATAAATGAAAGATGTGCTGCCAGGATTCAGGAGAAACAGTGATTTGAGCAAAACTTCAGGAAATCGATGTGGAATGTATTGTAATTTAAGGAAAACCTTCGTGAAATCACCACAGCCCTTTGCTTCTTTGAGTTATCTCACTGATTCTCCAGCAAGCTGACTTGAGACTTAGTCCCACTGAACTCATGGGGCTTATCTCTGATTAGACATCTGTAAGACTGCAGTGTTAATCTTTGATTTCCACTCACATGTACCCCCACAATAGCAGGAGATGCCTTTTGAACCTTCAAATAAAGCATGCTTGCTTCATTGCAAGACATTCTTATAGTTTGAAAGATTGAGAGGTGAAACATGTTTTCCTAGTATTTTAGGATTAAAAAATAGAGTTGTGTGGAATGACATACTGTGTCATCTCCTCCTCCTTACAAGGCTGCTTTATTAACTACCTTTTCTTTGGAGGGTTGTTTAACACTCGATCTCTCAAATAAAATTAGCAACAATCTGCCCACTCTGTAAAAGCACGTAGATAGTCAACTGCTCACCATGAAAATGGCGGCCCCCAGTAAGCAGCAAAGGAGGCAGCCATCTTTAAAAATCAATAGCAGCCATTTTGAATTAACAGTGTCATCCTATAAACAACTACTCCAGTGTAAGTGCCTTTGATTTCAATGAGGCTTACTCACAGGTATGTGGGCACAGTATTGCAGCCTAAGTGGGGTTAAGGAAATCTATAGGAATGCTTTGTATCCCTCAGGGTAAGCAGACAGGAATTGGGTAGGTTGTCTGAAGGGCTGAGGTATCATCAGGTAGCAACATGCAGAAATGGGCCAGTGGGAGGATTTGAAGCTTCTGCTTTCAAACCCTTTTACACAAAGTAATTTAGACAAACATAGTAACTAACAGGCTACTTGCAAATGGGGCTTTGGGGCTGTAGACAAGATGGAACCAGTCTGGTTTGGCTGACCAGACTTTAGAAACCCACCTAATTTCTGTCACAGTCTCCTGCCAAGTCACCCATTCGTCTCCATTAGGAAAAATTCAATAAATATTTTGATCTGTCATACCAGGCGAATGGGAACGCCATCTATTTGAAAAACTAAAATAATTGAAATAGTCTCTCTAGAATTAGTGTTCTCTTAAATTTCCCTCTCTAGGTATTATTATTATTATTATTATTATTATATTGATTGCCTTCAATATCACCGTCTCAAGCTGAATGAGAACAAAGGCAACTAAAAAACACACAAAAACAAATAAAATTAAAACCATGCAAGATAGACACTCATGGCAAAGACCCAGCTATGTTTACTAGTTATTTCTTAAATTTATATACCGCCCTTCATCCAAAGATCTCAGGGCGGTTCCTGCTGGGAAAGTGTGTCAGAACAAAAATGACTTGAATTATTTCTGGAAAGTGCTGACAGTGTGCACCTGACAAGAATGCTATTCCACAAAACAGGGGCAGCCACACTAAAAGGTCCAGCTCCAAGTAACAGTAGTAGTGGAAGCATATTATTTTTATCGTTATAAGCTGCTCAGATAACACTGTTCTTGGACACCATATTTTTTTGCTAATAATAATAATAATAATAATAATAATAGTAATATTGTGTCTATGCCAATTCATGCTAAGAGAAAGGTGAAGCCTGCTTTAAATGTAGCTCCTGGGCATGTTGCTGTTGTTTTGCGTGGACAGGCGGAGTCCCCAGATCCCGCGCGGTCCCCCCGTCATGTGGAATAACGACTCATGACAACGTGCTATGGGATTAAATTGGCCACAACTTTATTAAATTTCAAATGTGGGTAGACCTTGGCTCAGGCATTGGGCGTTCTCCCTCCCCAGTCCCCAGCCGGGGACCTAGGGAGCATCAGGGTTATCCAGTGTGTGTGGGGGGATGGGCCGGCTCTGGAGAACATATGTTCAAGCAGAGATAGCCGCCCTGTTACGCCGCCGCCGCAGGGGAGAGCAATGACGACCTTTCGGCGTACGGTCAAAGCCTCCTTCAGAAACCCCTTTAACGGGGAACCCTGGTATCGCCGCCGCAAAGAGGAAGATGGACTAAAGGATTCCGCCCAAGGCCTGATACCGCCAAAGTTGTGACGTTTTGCTACGGGAAAGGCGAAACCTGCCAATGCAGGGAAATTCCTTTCCGGCCCTTTAACAGCGACCTTAACGTAGCAGCGCCCGCATACCTGCGAAGAAAAGTTAACCTGCAAAACCTGTGAAGAAAAGTTAACCTGCAAATAAGACATTAACTGAGGGTGGGTAGGGTGGGAGAAGCTCTGGAGCCAAGTGAGGATTCCCAGGTAAGATCCTCCCTCTATTGTGTGGGCAGGTAATCCCTCCCCTACCTGGCCTGGTCTCCTTGGCAACGCTTCCCCCAGGTGGGATTGGACAACTGACTGAGGTAGGCGGAGACCTCCAGGTATCCCACCTGAGGGAAGGCAAACCAAGCCTATGCTGTTGGAGCCGCTCCAGATCTAGGGGCCGCTCGCGCCCACGCAAAGGGCTCCCCCCGTTTTAAGCGGGGAGCGGTCATTGTTGTTTAATTTATTTGAAGCATTATAAACGGGTCCATATCTGAAAGCTACCAAAGCAGTGTACAATAAAATCAAAGATTAAAGGTAAACGTACCCCTGATCATTATGTCCAGTCATGACCGACTCTGGGGTTGCGGCGCTCATCTCGCTCTATGGGCTGAGGGAGCCGGCGTTTGTCTTCAGACAGCTTCCGGGCCATGTGGCCAGCATGACTAAGCAGCTTCTGGCAAACCAGAGCAGCGCACGCAAATGCCGTTTACCTTCCCGCTGGAGCGGTACCTATTTATCTACTTGCACTTTGACGTGCTTTCGAACTGCTAGGTTGACAGGAGCTGAGATTACCCACTCAATAAACTAAAATCTCAAAAATTGTGCTACTTTTTTATTTGCAGTTAAAACACTGTGGGTGTTTTAACTTTCCACATGGGATCCCCGCAGCCAATGGCAACTCTAAACCTGACCACCCACTATACATGCCACATTAACACAACCAGATTCCTTTGTGCAGTTAGCACACTGATGTGTTCCCACTGATGGGCTAACACTCTACAGCTAAGTGTCGTGATTCTGTTTAGACACGACACTGGCTGTGTGGATTACTGTGCAGGTAAATTTCTGGCATCGTGTTTAATAAGCCGCAACAGACAATAAATACTTTATTCTAATTTGCTTTCATTTAGGACTGTTTCCCCCATCTTATTAGAGAGTGTAGTTTGCAATTACCCACTATTAACTGGAAATAGCAATATAATATGGAGCTTGATGAAAAGGTCCAAAGATCACGGGATCCTTCTTTTTCAACTATATTAGTGAGGATAACTTTTAAAAAAAATCCCAACTGTAATGTAGTAGCATTCTTTGAAGAATTAGGTAGCCCCAGAACACTACCATTGAATGGCATTTCTAAATGAACTGAGGGCAGAGAACAGCGATGGGTGTTATAAATATTCATATTCAAATGTTGTTGTTTTTTTATCCAAGTCAATAGGACTCAATGGAGCAAAAGAAAAAGGGAACAATAGAAAACAACTGTATTAACAATCCTGTAATATAGCTCAGTTGGTTAGAGCATGGTGCTGATAATGCCAAGGTTGCAGGTTTGATCCCCATATGGGACAGCTGCATATTTCTGCATTGCAGTGGTTTGGGCTAGATGATTCTCAGGGTCCTTCCCTGTTGTAGTGGTTTTGGCAACGTTTGGTAGTTCTTTTTGCAGATTTTTCCATATAAATTTGCTGTGTTTCTACAATGCAGGGTCCCCCCTCTCATTAAATCCAAAAATCTTGTGAATTTAGAGCCATCAATCTATAGAAATTGCAGCACCTTCTATGGATGGGTGGGGGGGTCTCTGTTCTTTCCTTAAAGATGACATTTTCTTTCATGCAGTTCTCATTTTAATGTAATAATTGCAATTTGGGGGCATGAAAAATATATATCTGAAGCTCCAGATGCAGTTCAAAAGTCAAAACCATATTTATTTAAGGGGGGCATCTCTAATTTGAAAGCAATAACTGCTATTTGTTAAACATAATGTGGTTTCTGATGCTTGCAAAGAATGTGAGTGATGAGCCCTTTACTAGTCGACTACGAAAACACAGGCAGGGAGGGATGGGGAAGAGGCTAAACTTTAATGCAGCAAGAGGAGGAAAATCGATTGCAGTGTTCAAAGAGATCTCTGCTGGTGAAGAATATTAAAAAACCTTTCGCCAGTTTTGCAATGACTCTTATGATCTACAGAGAGAAAATCAACTAATCTATGAATGAGCTGGCAGGGAGGAAGAAGAGAAAGGGAATATTCTTTTGCAGTTTGGCTCCTGGTCTACAGAACAGGTAGTCGCAGGGGGGGAAATTGCTACTGTACACAAATTAAATTTAGAGGCTTTGCTGACACGTCTTTCCAAGCATTTAAGAGTGCAAGCCTGTACCTGTTTACACAAGAGTAAATCCTATTGAGTTCAATGGTGCTTCCAAAGTGGGTATTGAATTATTCTCAATGGAACTTACTCCTGAATAGTCAACCATAGGATGCAAATTGTCCTAGCGGGGTGTGTGATTGGAATTTGTGAAGGAAGGAAAAAGGGGAGTAAATAAAATGAAATAAATATTCACCACAAAAGAAGAAATAACTGGTTTGGCTTTGTACCTAACCTGTAGAACAGTAGCAATTTGATCTTCTTCCAAGTTTACCACTGCTGTACCATAGCCAAGTCCAATGTTAGTTTGGGTTACTGGCTGTGCATGACTTTGTTATGATGCCCTAATAATAGGATCTGAGTCAAGTTTAGCCAGAACTGTGTTTGTGCCATGATTCTGTAAAGAGCACAGTCAAACCTCAGCATGCAGTTTGGGGTGCAGAACTGATTGAGAATCTGGGCCTCAGCGGCTCTCATGTCTCCTTGATAAGCAAAAACAGAAAGGTGGATCGCAAGACAAAAGTCTGAATGGCTAGCAAAATTGCGCAAGATGGCTTACATTGGCTGGTATAGTGGTACCTCGGGTTAAAAACTTAATTCGTTCTGGAGGTCCGTTCTTAACCTGAAACTGTTCTTAACCTGAGGTACCACTTTAGCTAATGGGGCCTCCCGCTGCTGCCACACGATTTCGCTTCTCATCCTGAAGCAAAGTTCTTAACCTGAGGTACTATTTCTGGGTTAGCGGACTGTAACCTGAAGCGTCTGTAACCCGAGGTACCACTGTATTCAGCTAAGTTTTACTGAGAGTAGACCCACTGAAACGGGCCTTGTTCTGACAGCTGGCCGTGGGCTTCGTCCAAGTGCCTTCATTCTAGGGAGTTGCGCTGCTTGCCCATGTGTTCCCTTGCTTTTTCTTCCATCCTCTATAAAACACACTTCTGGTAAATGAGGAGGCTGGAATGACTCCACTGGATAGATTCTAAATTCGACAAGTCCCTTCCGAATTAAAGTATGTGTGATACCAAATGTGAGAAGTGAAACTTAGCACCTTCCAATCTGGGCATGTGAAGGAGGAAGGAGAGTCGCCAAAGGAATATGAGCCATATGGCTTCCACCCACCTACCCGCTTAACTGCAGCTCAACCGATGTAGCCTTTCCAGAGTTTTCTTTTCTTTTCTTCCTATGCAAATGCATTCCAACTGATATGAGAGTCTCTAGGGCTTTCTTTGCTACTTGATGCCACTCTTAAATTAGCCTTTGCACAAAAGGAATGGTTCTTGAATTCATGGTGCATGTGTCGGTCTCAGAATATCATCCCCCATCAGCATAAATCTTTAGTAGTGTGAAATATAGGCAGTGTGGTTTAGTGGTTAGTGTATCTGACTAAGTATGGGGACACTGGGAGTGGCCGCCGAGACAATATAACACTGGTCCTGAAAGACCGACAATGGCTCCCAGTACATTTCTGAGCACAATTCAAAGTGCTGGTGCTGACCTTTAAAGCCCTAAATGGCCTTGGCCCAGTATACTTGAAGGAGCGTCTCCACCCCCATCGTTCAGCCCAGACCCTGAGATCCAGCTCCAAGGGCCTTCTGGTGGTTCTCTCGCTATGAGAAGTGAGGTTACAGGGAACCAGACAGAGGGCCTTCTCAGTAGTGGTGCCCGCCCTGTGGAACGCCCTCCCATCAGATGTCAACAAAATAAACAACTATCTGATTTTAGAAGACATCGGAAGACAGCCTTGTTTAGGGAAGTTTTTAATGTTTGATATTTAATCATGTTTCAATATTCTGTTGGGAGCTGCCCAGAGTGGTTGGGGAAACCCAGCCAGATTGGTGGGGTATAAATAATAAATTATTATAATAACATTATTATTATTACTCAGGTTCAAATCCCCACTGGGTCATGTCACTGAGTGCCCTTGGGCCAGTGACTCTCTCTTAGCTTGGCCTACTTCACATGATTGTGATGAGGATAACATGGAGCAAAGGACGAATCTTGGACACAATCCTGAGCTCCTTGTAGGAAAGGCAAGATAAAAAATGTAATGTTTTAAAAATATGGGAACCAGGACTTTAAAAAAAAAAACGGAACTAACTGGAACTCAGTTCTGGCACCTCTCAGGTGGGCACCATTGCCATTCTCAGAGAATGAAGGAGGTGGTCATTGGAATTCAGGCACCAATTTTACCAGAAAAATAGCACTGAGGAAACTAGCATGAGTGAAACAACAACAACCAGAAATTGGTCTAAGGTTGTAGAAGCACATTTATTCTCAGTGGTTCCCATTACGTTTTGCGGAAGAAAATTAACGTGTCTGCAATCTCGGACACGCAACTGAGGTAAAGGCTAAGTCTGTACTTGTGCCAGACCCTGGTCTCACCTGGGGCTTGAGGCAGTTTAGCCCTCACCTCAGCGTTGTATTATAGGCACTCCCTTTGTTTTCCTTTCGTGGTGGCCATTTACTGGATAAAAGTAAGCTGCTGTACTGGGGGACACAGTTGCACTGAGGGCAAAACTTGTCCTTCGGGCCAAAATGCCTCAGAAAACATTTCTGAGAATATGTCTGAGATGTTTCTTTGTCTCACCCCCTAGAAAATGATGGCCGCTTTTCATATTCTTCCCTGAAGATTTTCCATCATTTAGTTTTCAATTTTGTGGCAGTTGTTGTTTCCCCTCAAAATGGCTTAGGAAGGATGTTTCAGGGAATTGTGGAGGATGCAAAATGGTGGCTCGATTGTGAGGTGGGACACGAGGCTATGTTAAAGGTGAGCCCCACTCCTGAAAAAATTCCCAACAAATTCCCAAATAAATTTGGTGAAATTTCTCTGTCAGCAAATAGGGAAGAGAATTTTGAGGGGCCATTTGAACACAGCTCTCATCCTTGACACTCGAAGGTCTGCTTCTCCCCATTCCCCAGTGATCCCACAATGTCTGCATTTGTGCCATGTGTCTCAATATGTGGACATAAATTCATTAAACCTCCCAGAAGTCCTTGCAACAACAGACAGGCCTTCCTGCACACATGAAGCGTACAATCGTAATTAATGTGTCACACAATGCATATCCTGCCTTTCTAGGTACCAACTAACTCAAGATGGCTTTAAAGAAGTGAACAAGTAGAAGAAAAAGTGATTTAACATACAAGCAATAAAAAAGCAGATCAGGCAGGCCCCAAACTTAATGCCCACCTTAATAATTCTGTCAGCAAGAGGACAAGAAGGAAGGCATTGGAGGTTGAAGGACACTCCCAAGCAGCCTCATCTAAATGGATTCTTGAGAGAGTCTGGTCCAGGACATTTCAGGTTATAAAAGCCTAAAGCCAGCACCTTGAACTGAACCTGGAAGCAAACTGGCAGTCAATTCAGCCAACATAAAACTGGGAAGCTATGGTCTATCCTGGCAGCAGCATTCAATATCAAGTGAGGGGAACGATACTCAGGTGGAATCTACACACATATAAATAAATGCCATGAAAATGCTTTTAAAAAAACGTTTTGAAAAAATACATTGAATCTTGCATGTCATGTTTATATATTGCACTTTGCAACACATTTAAAAGGTTTTATTTGCAGCTGTATAGCTGAGTCCTAAGTGAGCAGTTGTTCATAGGCTATAGAATCATAGAATTGTAGGGCTGGAAAGGATCCCAAGAATCATCTAGTCCAATCCCCTACAATGGTAGCAGGAATCTCAGCTTGATCATACATGACAGGTGGTCATCCAACCTCTACTTAAAAACCTCCAAGAGATGAGAGTACACCAACTCTCATGGGAATATGTTTTCCTGTCGAACAGGCCTTGCTGCGTGAAAGCTCCTCCTGATGTTTAGACTGGATCTCCTTCCTTGTAACTTGAAGCCATTGATTCGAGTCCTACCCTCCAGAGCAGGGGGAAACAAGCTAGTTCCATCTTCTACGTGACAGCCCTTTAGATATTTGAAGGTGGTTATCATATCTCCTCTCAGTTTCCTCTTTTCCAGGCTAAACATATCCAACTCCCTCACAGTTCCTTATAAGGCTTAGTTTCCAGACCTTTGAACATCTTGGTAGCCCTCTTCTGCACACGTTCCAGCTTGTCAATATCCTTCTTAAATTGTGTAACCCAGAACTGGACATAGTATTCCGGGTGTGGTCTTCCCAAGGCAGGATAGAGTGGGACTATTATTTCCCTTGATATGGGCACTATACTTCTGTCGATGCAGCCAAGAATAACATTAGCTTTCTTTTGCTGCTGCATCATACTGTTGACTCATGTTAAGCTTGTGCTCTACTAAGACCCCTAGATGCTTTTCACATGTACTACTGGCAACTCAGGCCATATTATGACTTCTGCGTGCCTTACAGCTAGTTCACCTGAAGCAAGATCTTCCATGCATGATGCGTCCTCCCAAGCTTCCCTTGGCGATGTGCATGCTTGCAAAGCAAGATCTAGCCTGTCAGAGAATGTAGCTGCAACAACCTTATCATTCAGCGTAGTTCAGCACACCAGAGTCACACAGTTTGAAAGCACCACCAGCTCACGGGGACCGCAGAGCATTATAGTCGCATACATTCCTTTTCAGACACCCCTCATGTGCTTGTTGCCGTTATCTCATCTGTTCCCTTCAGACTTTCTCTGTTAGAAGCACATCCTGTGGTTAGTAAATGGTTCTTTGCGTCTCGAACAATGGAGCTGTCAATAAGCAAACACAGCAGTGGTTGGGTTTCCATCACCCTCCTAAACCCCTGCACTTTTTAAGATGCTCATAAACATGTGGACACACGCACACATACAAGGTAAGGTGGTGTAAGGGAGAGAGGGTGGGAGAAAATGAAAGAAAGGAACTAAGATGGCCTAGAAGGGGCAAGCAACCCAGACATATAGCTCTCAATGTATCACCCACATTTTTGAACCCCTGTCATTTACTTGAAGGAAGTGGACTTTTCACATACAAATTTAGCTTGGAAATTAAAATCAGGCTTCAATCCTTGGACTATTTACTTGAAAATCAACTCGGTTGAAACCAGTAGGGTTTACTTCAGAGAAAATGAATGTTATTTGACTAAATTCAATTAGTCCCAATGGAATTAATGGACCTAATTTTGTCATGTTCATTTCAGTGTGAGTAAAACTTAGTTGAATATCACCCAATATGTTCAGGGTTGCTTCCAGACTGTCACTATTTTGGTGTGAAATTCAGGTATATGGTGGCAAATTCAGGTTGCAGAATTAAAGTTGATTCAGCACTCTTGCGCAACAAATTGCCTTCCCCTCCTCAAAATGGGCTCTTTTGCAATAGGAAAGTGATGTTAAAAGTACACTGGGAAGTGTGGAACAGCCCTTTCTCGGTGTAACATTGTATAACCTCCCCACAAACAAATCAGCTCAATAAACAACCAGCATCATCTAACCTCCCTGCAAACTTTGTGCAAACAAATCTGAATGAACGCTCAATAAATGGGTTATCTGGAAGCGACATAAGATGAGAGACTTAATAAGAAATATATTGTTGTTTCTCTTCCTGAAATCTGACAAGTGTCACCTCCTTGACTGTCACTCTGGAAATGTACTTTGTCCCATATTTACTCCTGTTCCCCCTTGTCTGGTGTTCCCACTGAAAAATGAAGGGATTTAATGAAAGCATTTCTGGGAAGAGAAATGCAGGAAGGGGGTATTCCAAGTAGTGTCATATTAACAAATCCAGATGATGATGTTGATGATAAGGAGGAGGAGGAGGAGGAGGAGGAGGAGGATATATATAGCCCACATGGTGCATTGCAGAGCTTACATTCTAAATTTTGATACTGCGAAGGGAGGGGAAAGGGAAGCAGTTTTTCTCCTACCATGATGAAATCTTTCCCTTCCTTAAAAAATGCTTCTTGTCAAGAACTGTACAATTAGAGATTTGCTGGTAACGAGCACACTGCTTATAAAGAGGTATCTTTTTAGACTCTTTGTATTATTTCTTATATGGGAGGCAGATGGGACTAAGCTATAGCATTTGCAAAATTCTACTGCTAGTGATAGCAGTGATAATAATAATTAAAGCTGTAATAATGTCAAACATCAGTTTTGGAATCTTGGATAATTTAGTTTGTTGGCTTTGCTTGCAAACTATAGCCATGTTGTATATCCAGGCTAGGTGTGGACAGAGCAGGCTGCTTCCATTTCATGTCAGTCGTGTGTGTACCCAGTCATAGAGCCCTTCTGCCCTGTTTTCTTTCCGTTGAAGTTTTTTTTTAGCGCATGTAAATTCACATTCAAATCATATGCTGTTTTTATGCATTTTATTAACATTCTTCATTTTATTAACATCTATTAGCATTTTTGCACTGGGAATGCTTTCCAGTGCATTCCCCCAAAGCACAATTTTTATTTTTTTGTACACTCTTTTTAAAACCAAAACTGAATCACAAAAATTGGGGAAAGTGCACCAGCTAATTGATAACTGTCTTCCAATTGGCATATAAGTTTGGGACCAGAGAACTGGGCTGATTTGCTTCAAGGTGCACAGGTTTCTCTTATTGGTGTCAACCGAGAGAAAGAAAAGAAGCGAGGGATAGGAATACAGACACACAAATGTCTTATCTCCATCAATATAAATAGGAGAGCCCCTCTAGAAGCCCCAGGTGCGTTCCAGAACTCCTGCGCCCATAAGAAATTGTTGAAACTGTGCACGGATCCACTGAAGGACAGGATCTGTCTGCACATAAGTATTTTTGAAGGATTGGAGGGCACTTTTTATCACAGCCAAACCATACTGTGTCTCACCTACCATTTCCAGTTGTTGCCAGTGCAGCTGGTCAAAATGAATGATTCACATCCGCCCTGACTCATCAGCGCTTTCACAGGCAAGCCCTGATCTAACCTGGCATTAAGCACTTAGCTTTAAGAATGTGGGTATGTGGATCCGCAGCTAGAGGTTTCAGATCTGTATTTTTCCGATTATCGTATAGCCATGAGTTGCTAAGTGCTTGCTGTTCGTAGCACCCACGTTACATAAAACAGAAAGGCGCCAACACTACAGCTTGTGCGAGGGGCTCTGGCTTCATCCCCTACATCTCAGCCTTACTTTATTGGTTACTTAATTTAATTGGCGGTGACATTAGCATTGGAACAGGCCTGATTGTCATCTCAGCCACAAAGGCCTCCCAGCTGAATATAAGCTTTGGTCAAGCCCTTCTAATGCTGCTTAAATGGACAGGGGAAAACAGGCCGATCTCTGGCAATGCAGTTCTACATTTAGACTTAAAATCCTGTAATTTGGCATTTGCCAGATAAGAAAATCACATTAAAGCAAAGTCTTTCCAAATGGGCAAATGCAGCAGTGTTGTCCGTCCCCCCCCCCACCCCCAACATTCATCCTCAGGATATTTCCTGGTTTGACTGTGCATTATCTGAAACCAAATGACATAGCTTCAAGCTGTATACAGTGGTACCTCGGGTTAAGAACTTAATTCATTCCGGAGGTCCGTTCTTAACCTGAAACTGTTCTGAATCTGAGGTACCACCTTAGCTAATGGGGCCTCCCGCCGCCGCTGTGCCACCGCCGCACGATTTCTGTTCTCATCCTGAAGCAAAGTTCTTAACCCGAGGTACTATTTCTGGGTTAGCAGAATCTGTAACCTGAAGCGTCTGTAACCCGAGGTACCACTGTATTAAGGTTGGGGGCCCTTTGGTTCTTCAGATGTTGATGGACTACACCTCCCAGCACCCCTGACCAATGGCCATGCTGGCTGGGGCTGATGGGATTTGGGAATCCAACGATACCTAAAGGGCTATAGGTTCTCAATTCTTGCTATAGGTGATATTCTAGCCAAACTATCCTATCAATCCTTTTTGAAGGTCAATGAAAAGGCCTTTGACATGCCCAATTGAACCTAGCTTACACTGTTGTGAAGATCCAATGAGATTAACAATTACTCTAGGCGCACTGCCCTGGACTCTGGGGAAGAAAGGTGGGATTTGTGATGAATAAAGCAATACAACCTTTTCGAGTGTGAAATGGTGATAAAGGAAGAAAAAAAGTGAAGCTGGCTTCCCTGAGCAAAAGCCAACATAGACATGGCACAATGGGATAAGAAAGAGGAAGCAAGCAGAAACAGTGGAACACAAAACCGTATCGGCTGCACGAGGGTCAAAAAAGAATAAGGCAAGGGACAAGAGAAAATATGGTGACACAGCGATGGAGAGGGCCTGCCCAAGGTTTCTGGCTACCTCAGATGGAACACCAAATGATTTACCTTCACCTAAATCAAGGTGAACAGAAACCCAAGACTGGCCAAAATATTTTAAGCGCTGTGCCAGAAATTTCTCCCAAAATCCTCCACCCAAACATTATCACAACACCCCAAATCATTTTACTTAATGGAGGGCAACTCGCTAGGGAGGTCTTACATGGGCTGTTAGCCCATCTGCCAGTAGTCTCTTTGCTTTCCATTTATGGATGGGTTGCCGCAAGGTTGACCGGGCCTCAGGTGCAGCTGCATTCCAAAGGAGGGCGGGGCTGGGGACAAGCGATAGATGGCCTAGAGGAGAACAGATGCCCATGGTCTTTGTTCTCTCTCTTAATTAAAAGTGATTTTGATTCATCAATTTCCTCTGGAATAGGAGACCAGGAGCAATCAGCAAGTGTGAGACAGTGCAGATATATAAATATTCGTGCCAGTTTCTTCTGCTCTTCTGCCAATAATCAGCCATAATCCTTGAGTTTTGGCCACAACCCAAACAGTCTTTTTCCATTTACCGTAAACAGAGCTTAAATCCAGTTTCAGCTATCAACATGCATTTCTTGTCAATTGTAATTTGTCGCAAGTGGGGGTGGTCCACAAAGGAGCAGCTCATGAGGAAAGAAAATAGCTATGCTTTTGTGTGGTTCCCATGCATTTTGAGTGTTTTGTGGGTCTGATTTCTGAGTGGGTTGTGCCCTTTTGCAGGAACTAGATCAGGGATAGAGAACCTCTAGACGTTGCTCAACTCCAACTTCCATCAGCCCCAGACAGCAGTGGCAAACTTGGGAACTATGGCACCCTGTTTGAGACTAAAAATTGGCTCACACATAACCGCAGACCTTGCACTGCCTTCCCAAAGGTGACTAAGGAGGCACCCAAACTTGGGAAGGAGGAACGAAGCTCTGGAGGGTCCTAGAGACTTCCCACTGTTACAAGGTTAACACACATCCATGACAAGCGCACATCAGAACTCTAGCAAAAGATCTTTAAACCTCTCAGCAGTGTGTATATGAACATACACGAGTGCTGGCTGTGCACATGTGAGTCCAGGTACACACTCGTAACACCACTTCCTTCCCAGAACTGGGAAAGCATTAACTAGGCTTTGAGGAAGAGGTGGGAGGATTCTAGGATTCTGTCAGAGCCCTTACGTTTCCTTCCCAAAGCTTAGTGAGCTTTGAGATGGCACCTTTCGGCTCAGCACCCAGTCCATGTGCACCACTTGCACAGCCCTAAATCTGCCCCTGCAGGCAGCATGGCTAATATCGAGGGATGGTGGAAGCTTTAGTCCAATGTGTGGAGGGCCACAGGTTCCTCACTCCTGAAGTGGATTCAGTGGCGGAGCTATATGCTCCAGCACCAGGAGCGGTGTACATCTGGGGGCGTGGTGTGCGTGTGGCCCAGGGGGCATGTGCGCCGAGCGCCGGGTATCCCAGGGGTACACGGAGCCCCAAGCGTCCCGGGGGTGGGGATGGGGGCGGCCACGATGGCACCCCCCACAGAATGGCACCCGGGGCAGACCGCTCCCCCTGCCCCCACATTCATCTGCCAGTGAGTGGATTGACTGCTGTGGTGTTCTCTAGAGGGGGGAAGTGATACATGGTTCCTTTACTAGGCAGGAGATTCCACTCTGCTTGTGGAAAGCATTGATTCTTCTCTGTGGGGATTTGACAGAGAACTCGCGGGGAGGATAAATTAGGCAAACACAACGTTTTAAACCTATACTCTTTAGAACAGCAGAGTCTGGTTCAAGGAAGAGAGAACTGTCCATTAAAGCAGAGGAAACTGTGGCCCTCCAGATGTTGTTGTACAATGGCTCCCATTATCACTGGCCATGTTGGCTGGGGCTAATGGGAGCTGGAATCACAGCAACATCCGAACAGCCATGAATTCCCCATCCCTTATTTGCAGAAATTATAGGCAACGGTGACAAGCAACCAAGATCTGTGCTTGGAAACCGAAAAGCCCTTTGTGGAGTGCAGGTGGGAAATGCTCTTTCATGACTTTCTGACCCAGCAGCCCATCCTTACCCAACAAGTGATGTGTAGATTAAAGTCCACCTAGGCAACATTTTCTTCAGTCAGGTGTAAGCCTGCAGTTGAAAGGAGTGTGGTCATAAATTCTTTATGGCAGCGATGGCCACGTCAGTGTTTTCAAGGGCTGCTTGAATTTCCAGATAGTGGCTGGGAGGCCAGGAACGTATCTTGCCACACACACACACATACCCCTGTATTGGAGCTCACACTCTATAGTAAAGTCTGCACTAGCAAGCTGCAGTGGCGTCCCAGTTAATGCACTCCGACATATACAAAACCTCTCTTTCTCTCTTTCTCTCTTTCTCTTTCTCAGCCCAGTCATGTGCAGGTTGACTCTGAAGGATGTTCCATTGTGTGGGAATTATTCCCAGGCCAAGTGTGCAGTCTTGCATGTTTTGGAAATACATTGCACTCCTTATAAATGAAACTATCAGCAAAGAAACAGTGGCTCACTTAATGTTGAAAGGACTTCTGTTAAGTCATATCAGTAGATGAAGAGAGAGGAATGGGCCAAGAGAGGAGAGCTGGAAGGAGGTAGGCAGGTCCATTGCTTCAAAAAAGAACATTAAAATAACATTAAACAATATTAAGAATGAAATCAGCAGTTGAACCCTATTAGGTGGGAAACTGAGGAGCCCATTTTGCTAAATATACTCATGGAATGGAGAAGGTACTGAAATTCTCCAGCTGAGAGAGAGAGAGAGAAATGTATCAGAAATTTGTCCAATTTCCCCCTCTCCCTGGGAAGTAAGAATATGAGCCCTGCTAAATTTGTCAAAGGCCCGTATAGTCCGGCATCCCTTTCTCCCAGTGGCCAACCAGATGCCCATGGAGAAGTCTGCAAACAGGATCTGAGTGCAACAGCACTCGCTTCACATGCAATTTCTGGAAAATGGGATTCAGAGGCACACTGGCTTTGACAGTGGATGTAGAACATAGCATATGCTACAGAGACTCTTCACTGCCAGTGAATATTGCTCTTATTGCCATATCTAGTATGGGAAACCCTTCATCAGAGTGTAGTATGAATGATCTGGTGGACATCATGTGTGCATATGAAATGCCCCCTTCTGGTGCAATTCTATGCGCCTCTCCTTAGAATGTGCAGATTGTGCAGTCCCACTGAGTGGGGCTTACTCCCAGGCAAGCACATATAGGATTGCAGCCTTTAAAAAGCATGTTAGCACTACTTGAGAGAAGTGGCACATCTGTGGTAGGCCAGCCTCTTCCAGCCTTCAGTAGGGTGTGCGGGAGTGGGGCAGCGGAAGGTGGGGCTCATAAGTGTGTGCTTAATTTAGATAGCTACCTGAAATGTTTTTTGTGTGCATAATTGCAGACATCAGTGACATCTCTGCAGACACGCTACCGTTTTCAAAAAGCATTCCATGTGTCCTATGAAAGCACCTTGATTTCCATTGTTTTGAAAAGAAGCTGCATTCTGGAGTTCATGCACTGCGTGTTGAGGAGGTTCAATGAGAGAAGGTGTGGTTTTCTGCAAAGCACCTTTCTGTGGCCTCTGACAGACCCAATCACATTTTAATCAAAGAGACGAAACAGAATGTTGCTCACAGTAAATTTCATGCAAATTTTATTCTATTGCCATCTGATGTACTCTGTGCAGTGACAAAGGGGCACTGCCAATCTGTCTTTCAAGAGGATCTCTCAGGATGTGAATTGCTTCCCTGGTCTCCATCCCCAGCTGATGATCTCATACCACCTAACCCAACACCAGTAAGAACTGGTGTAATAATACTGATGCTACAAAAGCCCAACTCCCTAAAGCAAGGGAAATCTGTGATACCCCCCAATATACTTAACAGGGAAGGTTGAGGAATTGCAAGTCCCTCTCTAACCCAGTCTACGGTTTTCTACACCCTCATGACTTCCCAACAGCAGCAGGTTAAAAGGAAACAGTGAGTGCAGACAGATAGCTAGATTTGCAGATGCGTGGAAGGTTATTATAGAAGATATTGCATGGGAGAACAAACAACAGGCTGTGAAGCTGGCATGACTAGGCCTCAGTGTGTCTTGGAATGGAAAGTGATGTTGTTCCTCTCCATTTTCCAGAGCTTGGCATTTGGAAGAGACTTCCAAACTCTGTGCAGAACAGCCATAAAGCCCAACAATGTAGTTGTCTTCACCAAGACTGAATGTGTTCCTAATGGTGATGGTGAAAGGTAAAGGACCCCTGACAGTTAAGTCCAGTCACAGACGACTCGGGGGTTGCAGTGCTCACCTTGCTTTACAGGCTGAGGGAGCCAGTGTTTGTCTGCAGACAGTTTTTCCGGGTCATGTGGCCAGCATAACTAAGCTGCTTCTAGCGCAACAGAACACTGAAACCAGAGCAGCGCACGGAAACGCCATTTAAATGGTGATGGTAGGACAGGAATTTTGAGCCAGAAGTCCCATGCAGCAGAAAGAGGCTCCCAAAACACAATAGGGGATATCGTGATAGATCCCAGATGTTCTAGCAGGCATTCTTCTGTGTCAGCATATAGAGTGTCTGCCATTTCGGGTTTGCCACGTTTTGAAGTTGTCAAAGTAACACACATTACCATCTACAGCAGAGCCCATAACACCATTAAGTCCACAGTCTAAGACTGCTGGAGATTACGCATGGAGAAGTGTATTCCACAGCTGTAAAGAGCTACTCTTACTGCTGATACATCGCTTAATACTCAAGATGGTCTCTAAGCGGTTTACAAAATCTCCAATACAGTATGTACATAGAACCAGCAGTGAAAGTGAGAAACTACAATGCAATGCAGTGCCACAGAACACTTAAATCCTAACAAATCAAAAACATTTTGAAGCATCTTTAGAGTCAGGGATCCTGTCCAGCTTCAGCCTTTGTCTTGTGAAGGCACACCCTGTCTCACAAAATACAGCACTCTTTCCACTAACACATACAAACTACACCCAGATACTGACTTAATCTCTACACAAATCATACAATGTCTGCTACTCAGTCAATATCACTCTAACTTTTTTAAAAAACAAAAACAAATTCTGTCATCTTCTTATAAACCTGCTGCCCAGGAAGGCATATCATAATAAACTTTCAGGGACTAGATAGGAGTCTGGGAAATGGATGAATGCCCTCCAAGACTAGAGAACATGGCTGCTCCTGGATAACCCACCAATGTTTAACCCAATATTTGTTTTGTTTTCCTTTGACTTGGGTTGTAAAGGCTATATGTGTTATCTACATAAGGTATCATGGTGCACTATCTATTGAACCACCCTGTTACTAGTGGGGCCATCCTTTAAAATTGATACTGTTGAACAAGACATCTTTTTAGAGCTAGTACTTTTATTGCTGGGGGAAGACAAAAGATATTAACATTCTTGGCAGGAATTGTATGCCTTCCATCCACATTCATCCCCCCCCAAAAAAAAATTGGCAGTAAGTGAAAACTTACAACCAAATTTCCTGCTCAAAATCCTGTTGTACAGATTGCCTAACCAGGGACACTGTGTCTTTAACATTTACAAACGGCTAATTTTAATCCTCTCAAACAGCCAGTTAAAAGCTTCTGCCTGATGCATAAAAATTAAGTTAACAGTAATTAATGTAACCAGCCTGGAACCTTCACAAACTCCTGCCAGCAAGTGCCTTTTGGTGCACTCCAGAGGCTGCGGTTTGCTTGACGGTGCCAGCAAACAGGTTGTGGATTGTAAACACTGTAATTAGTTAGTAAGTTTCTAAATCTCCACTTGCTAGGCTGGTGGTCTGAATTGTTGGAACAGTTGACCCCCTGAGAGGAGAGAAAAACAAAGGAAGGGAATTAGTGCAACTTTGCTTTGCCTTGCCAGCATATGCCACTGAGCCACTGTTTTACCTGGCAAATGTTGGTTTTTTTCCAGAAGCGGATGCTGCAGTCTTGCTACAAACAGCTTCTGACGAGGGCAGTCAAGCTAGTTTGTAGCAGCAAAACTGGAAAATCATATTGTGGCACCTTAAAAGCATCATTGTATTATGGCAGAAAGATTTTGTGGATTAGAGGCCACTTGGTCAGATCCAGTGGATTGCATATGATTAAATGGGCTCTCCTTCAGAAAGGTTCATGCCATAATAACACTGGTTAGTCTTTAAGGTGCCACAGGATTCTTCATTGATTTTGGACATGGGTGGCACTGTGGGTTAAACCATAGAGCCTACGGCTTGCTGATCAGAAGGTCAGGGGTTCAGATCCCTGCGATGGGGTGAGCTCCCATTGCTCGGCCCCAGCTCCTGCCAACCTAGCAGTTCAAAAGCACGTCAAAGTGCAAGTAGATAAATAGGTACCGCTCCAGCGGGAAGGTAAACGGCATTTCAGAGCGCTGCTCTGGTTTGCCAGAAGTGGCTTAGTCATGCTGGCCACATGACCCGGAAGCTGTATGCCGGCTCCCTCGGCCAAGAAAGCGAGATGAGTGCCGCAACCCCAGAGTCGGCCACGACTGGACCTAATGGTCAGAGGTCCCTTTACCTTTTTAAGGATGCCAGCTGCAGTTTTATTCATTCACAGGAAGACAGTTGCTCAATGCAGGCGTGTGTGTGTGTGTGTGTGTGTGTGTGTGTGAGCGCACGCATACACACTCACAAATGCATGCATTTATTTATACACACACATACACCACATGTATGTGCATTTATTCATTCACAAGAAGGCAGTTCGTCAGACCACACATATACACATATACAGACACATATATTCCACATGGCTGCAAAGTCGAGAGGAATAATAATAATAATAAGCCGCCCATCTGACTGGGTTGCCCCAGCCGCTCTGGGTGGCTCCCAACAAAATATAAAAAATACAATAAAACACATCCTCTACTCTCTAACCCAAAGGAAAAATATATATTCCTGAAAGGCTGCACTCTCCCAGCAAGAAATTCTGTGATTTACCCTTTTTCTTTTTTTGTCATGAAGGCAAAAATGGAAAGGGAAGGAAAAACACACAAAAATCTTTCATTTTTCAAAGATGGAAATACTCTAAAGATGTGACTTCTCCTAGAGTTAGGCAAATAAACCTGCCTAAGATCGCACTGCATGCCACTCAGAGCCTTTGAGGGGTTGCTGGTAATGATCTAAATAATATGTAAAACATTTGCACCCCACCTTTTCAAAAAACGTCCAAGATGGGTAATGATTGCGGTAGGGTATCAAAAAATGTATGGTATCACAAATTAGGCTGTAATCATAACCCTACTAGCCTGGGAGTAAGCTTGATTGAATTCCGTAGAACTTCCTTCTGAGTAGGGATGGTTAGAAATATGCTGTAAAAGCTGCGTTGAAAGCCCAGAAGCAGTAGAATCAAACAGAAACTGAGAAGAAAAAGAGCCTCAAATGAAATAGCCAGAGACAACATCAGAGCAAAACATCACTAAAAATAAAATAAAATCCAGCATTGGAATAAACAAGGGAAAAAACCCACAAGCAGAAGAACAAACAAACAAATGCACATATCTGTGTTCGATACCAAGCAAAGGGTGGAACTTTGATCATGCTTTCAAGAAGAATGGAATTAAAGAGAAAACAACAGCTTCACAGTAAAGCCGAAAGACTTCAATGTAGGGCCATTAAAATGTGGAGCCTATTGAGTGTAAAACTGAAGGCAGTGACACCATGACTTTCCCCATACAAACATCAGTTGAGTTATATTTATGTGTTTAGAGATACCGTCCATTCATAAAGCATGGGGCTTTGCATCCTAAGAGGACAGGTCTCTGCCCTAAGGAGCTTCCAGTCTAAAATTCAACACTGGGGGAAAACACAGAAGAAGGAAAAGGAAGTGGAGGCCAGCAGGTAAACAGAGAGAGAATGTGTTTCAGTTACACGCATCCAGCCTGAGGTCCTGACTACAAACTAAATTAATATTTTGATTGGCAATCATGCCATAGGTAACCATAGATGAATCTGTCAATTTTGGTAACCTTAACTTTGTCATTTTTCAAATCTTCAATCCAGTTCTCCACATTTCTGCAGCAATTCGCTTTAAAACAACAACAACAACATATTTGTTGGCATTTTAATCCTAATAAACATAGTTTTATATGCAGTTTCAACCAAGTCGACTCAGAAGTAAGTGCAATTGCAGCCCGAGCAATTGACGAATCTATTCTGCAATTCGCTTTCCATGCAAGTAAAGTTCAGCCGATTGGCGAGCTCAGGGAAAATGTCAGCAACAGGAAAAGGCATGTTCTGATGTGCGAACATCGACAGCCACGAGCTTGCCTCGTCCAATTTCCACCACAACATCATACAATAAACCAATTACTGTTTGGAAATAGCTGCAGTTGTCCCAGGCTTAGGCGAGAGAAAGTTAGCTGGCGTGTTTGCAGCCCACTTTCAAATGTTGCAAATGGTCTTCGGTTCTCAAACATGTGCAAAAGTGCGTCAGGGCTCCTGCACCTGTGGAAGGTGTGTAGCAAAGGGGAGGTCAGCAGGTGCACCTTGCCGGACAAAGCACATCTGCTAGTCATCTACACAACTAGTACAGGTGCACAAGTCCTGCCAGGCTTGTATCTGGCCCTCCAGATTGAGCCCCATCCTTTGATTCTCAGCTATTCTACATCCTTAGGGACTGTGCTAAGTGGAGGGTGTGTTTGAAAGCAGAATAACCAGCTCTGCCCCCAACTTCTTCAGAATAATTTGCAGACTAATCTGAATGAAAGGCCATGTGCAGAAAACTACAAGGTTAGAAGATGTGGGGGCCTTTCTGTGGTGCTAGTCACCTAAGCTTTATGCAGAGCAGACCTCTTGGATTTTATGGACATGACAAATTAGGTCCATTACTTTCAGTGAGTCTACTCTGAGTAAAATTTAGTTGACTACCACCTTCTTTTTTTAATTGCTCCACCAGCTCTAAACTGGTTTGGGGGGCTTTCAGTAGGCTGCTACTGGCAGAAAGGCCACCAAGGACTATCCTAAGCTTCCTCAGCCACCTACATTATAGAATCATAGAACTGTAGTGTTGGAAGGGACCCTGAGGATCATCTAGTCGAACCCCCTGCAATGCAGGAATAGGCAGCTGTCCCATACGGGGATCGAACTCCCAACCTTGTCATTATCAGCACCACTCTCTAACCAACTGAGCTATCCACACTGATGGCCTTCTGTGCCAAGTACATGTACGTATGCTTTCCACCATGAAAGGTGGTACTGCCTGCCTTTCAGTGGTATTGCCCTACCTTTGAAACACCTTCCTTAGAGACAGATGTGAAGGCCTTGCTTTTGCCCAGATTTCAGATAGTTTTTGGAATCATGCTCTTCCTTAGGTATTTTATTCTTACACAATTCATTAGGTTGCGTGTTTTTAGTGGGTTTAAATTGTGTTGGTATGTTGTGCGAATTTGTTTTCTTCATACTTCTTTCTCACACCTCCCTGAAACCCTTTGATGAAGGGCAGTGCCAGTTAAGGGATATTTTAAAGCAATGACATAGCTACCCAAACAGCAAAAAGCTGAAGGAGTGTCTCCACCCCCATTGTCCAGCCTGGACACTGAGGTCCAGCTCCAAGGGTCTTCTGGCAGTTCCCTCACTGCGAGAAGTGAAGTTACAGGGAACCAGGCAGAGGGCCGTCTTGGGAGTGGCACCCGCCCTGTGGTACACCGTCCCATCAGATGTCAAGGAAATGAGTAACTATGTAACCTTTAGAAGACATCTGAAGGCAGCCCTGTATAGGAAAACTTTTTAATGTGTAATGTTTTATTATGTTTTTATATACGTTGGAAGCCACCCAGAGTGGCTGCGGTAACCCAGTCAGATAGGTGGGGAATAATAATAATAATAATAGCCTTATAGATGAGGCCATCATAGAGCATCAGTGGTAGAGCATGTGCTTTGCATGCAGAAGCTTCCAGATTCAATCCCCAGCATCTCAGCATCTCCAGGGGGGGATCAGAGGGTCACCTGTCTGAAACCCTGAGGAGTTGCTGCCAGCTCAGTGTAGGTAATACTGAGCTGGAGGGACCAATAGTCTGACTCAATAAAATATTGTGTCCTTGGTTCTCATGGCACCTGCAGCAGCACAACAGGCAACAGGAAGCAGAAAGAAACATTGCTACGGTTTCCAGCAAACACCAGCAGAAGACACCCATTCTGATGTTTCTACCAGGCTCTGACCTAGTGTTATTCCAGGCCTTTGGAAACATCTAGATGACAACTTCCTGTATCCAGTGTAGTGCTATGCAAATGGTCCATCAGCACAAGGATTTCTGCTTGCACAACAGAACATTCCCCTTCTCTCCTCCTTCTGCCAACCTGTACATCTGTTCTAGGGGTTCTCCCAACCATCTGGAGCAGATTTGGGGATGGGCCCAGGCACACAAGGTGGCGGCAGGGAAGAGGAGGTCCCATGGCACAAGCAGAGATCCTTGTGCTGACAGGACGTGTTTGTTGAATGCTGCCCTGACTCCCGGTGCTTCCATTTGGTAAATTTCAGACAACCAGTATGGGGAAGGATTGGGAGAGCAAACTTCAAGTGCAAGCACTAGTGAGCCCACAGAATTCTGGGTGCAGACGCCATCCTTGAGCAAGCACCCCGTACGTTGCATACACATAAGCTCTTGCCAATGGGATCAGAGCCTTGCAAAAAGCATTATCATTGATCGTACGCACAGAGCCTAGTCATAGTTTGTAATGCGTGTAAGCCCCTTTCAACTGCATGCTGTATGTGAAAAAAAGGTAAGAGCAAAGCCAGCAGGTGTGATCCCACTCTTCCCATGAACATTCAGTCTGCTCCAATCATAGGAGCCAGCTCCTAGGGGCTGAGGGGGCTTCTCACCCCCAATAAAATATTTTGGGCGGCTGCCCCCCAAAGTTGATGGGCATTGCCATTCAAATGGTGTGCATGCATCACAACATGTGACCGATTAGACCAGGCAGGGCTTACCTGCCCCCCTAATATTTTATTCTCCAATAGAACATCTGCACAGGCCTTTAGATATCTAATTCCTAGTGCAAGTGTCCTTTGTTGTATCCCCAGGTCAGCATGGCATAATGTAAACAACAGTCCCCTTTAGCTGTAGCGTTGATCGCCTAAATGTTTTTCAAGCCCATAAGGCTGTTAGAACTAATTGATATCATTTAAAACACACACACACACACCCTGGGTCTAAAGCTCTTTGTTGCTTGTTGTAAACCAAATGTTGCCAACTTTTAAAATTACTTATTAAAAGGTAGTCTACAGTCAGACACTATAACCCTCCCCAGTTCATGCCAAGTAGATGGTTGCATTGAGTCCAGGCTGATAAGGATATAGACAACTCTGGGCATAATGTATTTGGTGCTGTAGTGTTCACCAATGCTCTGTAGCTGCATCATTTCCTCAACAGCAAACTCAGGTGGTGAATGTCAACAGGACTGGAGCTGAAGTGGGTGGGAGCACTGAGGATCAAGAGAAAAACATCAGCATGCTCGGGAGGATCCTGACGACTGTGGAAGTACAAAAATGTTGGTCAGGGCAAAAAAATTCAAAAGGTCCCAATGAGGACTGAACTGTTGGGATACTGTCAGGGAGACGGAGGCATCAGGCAGGCTCCCAGTCGTCTCCGGACGATCACCGGTCTCCCATGGAACAGCATCAGTCAATTAGTAGACTCATGCACACCCTTTCAGCGGAGTCTCCACAACGAAAGGATGCAGACAGGAGAGCATATTTACAGCTTTATTCAACGTAGATCAGAACAAAGGAAAAACATGGCTGCTTGCCTCCGTTTCCAGGAAAACAGCCAGAATACAAAAGCTATATACAAACGGAAGTTCCCAGCAAGAAGCTGGAAGTAAACAGGCATGTGATACACAACAATCATGCCTGACCCTTTTAAGGTGGAACGGAAGTATTTCCTAACATGAACATGCTGAGTAGTCATTGAATATTAGGGCATGGCTGGCTGAACAGAAGCATTGCCCCCCCCCCCCCGGAAATCAGGATAGGCTGCAAAATTTTGCTGCAGATCCCACTTGTCATACTATATTAGGGAACCTGTGGGCTTCCCACAGGCATCTAGGTGGCCACTGTGAGAACAGGATGCTGGACCATTGCCCTGATTCAGCAAAGCAATTCTTATCTTCTTAAGTAATCAGGCTATCAAAAGATGCTATTGAATATGATGTGCAGGTCAGTGCCTAAGAACTCTTGTTGTCGATGTAGTGGGGGGGGTGCAGGATGAGACAATGTCAGTCATGTATAGATGCATTTAATAATTATAAAAGGAAGCAAAAGGTTGGTTTCGGAAACAAGTGGATCAACCTCTCGACAAGAGCGAAGCCAAAATGGTGCCACTGAGAAACGAAAGGGAGATACCTGGTTGTTGGGGTAAACCCCATGGTATGCAGGAGTGCAAAACAACAATAAAAAGGTGATTTTGAAAAGCCAAAACACCCTAATGAGAACTGAGCCTTCTCCTTGACTTCCAGGAGCTATGGTATTTTAAGTCACACATCCAAGGTGGGGAAGTTATGGAGGGTGTGGAAATTGAATTAGCCTGCTTGACCCCTGACTGCTATGATATCCTGGAGGTGGACCTAGCTGCCTAAAACCTTGAACAAGAGCATTTCTCTGTGGCGCTGAGGATACACTGCAACATTTTGTTGCAGATCTCACGTCTTTCAGCCTCAGTTTGAAATGTACCAGGATTGTCAGCTGAGCAGAAGAAAAACAGCCTGGCTGGTTTTGCTGTCATTGCTAAGGCCATTTTATTTTGCTTTAAAATGAAGGGTGGGGATGTCAGTCATTTGCCATTCGCACGGGGCACCTTAGTAAGTCAGAGATCAGAGACCAGCTGGAGAGGATTCTGAGATCCTGTGCCCTTCTTCTTCCAGGTTAAGGGAGTGCACTGAGCATGCCTTGCCTGTCTGTTCCCAATAACAAAGAGCCTGAATTGCCTGTGGAGCTTTGTAAGGGGTTTATAGCAATTAACCATCATGTGCAGAAACAGAAATAATGTGATCCTTATAATATCTCTCTGAGGTAGATTATGCTGAGGGATGGTGACTTGCCCAAGGCCATCCAGTAAGCTTTGTGGCTGAGCTGGGACTCTGGACTGAAGCCACACCCAATTCTCTAGCTACCACATTATATTCCTACTGCATTTGTGGGGAGGGATAAGATAAGAGTCCATTTAGCCGACAACTGGCATAGGAAAGCACAGCCCAGGCAGAAGGAAACAGAACAGATCCTGCTTCCATAATCCACTTTAGTAGAAGCCCATTTGTCCTTCGTTGGATCGCCTGTGTATATAAAGCCAACCAGCTGGCAAATCAGAATAAAATGAGCATAGTAGGTAGGCACACAATTCTCCTTTCACTCTACATCCCTATCTGGGCTTGGTTTGATGTTCAAATGTTTTTGCTTTGTTTCATTTTTGCCAGAAGTTAACATTATTGCCATGGAGTTTAATTTTCATGAACACCAGCAAGCAGGTCAATTAGGCCTTGGACACTGATCATTAATCACCTGGGCCTCGGAAGAATCGCCTACTCACCTGTATGGCCTGGGGTCAAGTTACTGTCTTCATCAGGCACATTTGTTATTGTCAGGGCTTCCTCTGGAATGTGGATTTCCCCCTTTCCTTTTTTCTTTTGTGTGTGTATGTCATAGAATCATAGGACTGTAGAGATGGAAGGGACCCCAAGGGTCATCTAGTCCATCCCCCTGCAATTCAGGAATCTCAAAACAAGCATCCACGGCAGATGGTCATCCAACCTCTGCTTAAAAACCTCCAAAGAAGGAGAGCCCACAACCTCCGGAGGGTGTGTGTTCGTGAGTGTGTGGCCTCTGAATTGTGGTAGGTTCCCCAGCCTTGATGCATGGGACCATCCTGTAAAGGCATGTACCAATCTGCACCAGGTACCCACTGGATCTGTATCAAACGTTCTTGGTCACGCCTATTATGTGATGCCTCTTCCCTAAACCCTTACACTTTTAAAAGAACAACTTGTATCAAATAAAGCAATAGCCAGCAATCCATTAGAATACAGTGGTACCTCGGGTTAAGTACTTAATTCGTTCTGGAGGTCCGTACCTAACCTGAAACTGTTCTTAACCTGAAGCACCACTTTAGGTAATGGGGCCTCCTGCTGCCGCCGTGCCGCTGGAGCACGATTTCTCTTCTCATCCTGAAGCAAAGTTCTTAACCCGAGGTACTATTTCTGGGTTAGCAGAGTCTGTAAGCTGAAGCGTATGTAACCTGAAGCTTATGTAACCTGAGGTACCACTGTATAAGAGTAAACAGTGAAATTAAATATCAGCAAATAGTAATTAAACGATTTACACTTATCAATTACACTAAAGAATAACTAAACCATAATCAATAAAAATAATGGCAAGTCAGAATGCATAAAATTCCATAAACCCTGGAAAACCACGTAAAAGGATCAAATTGAGAAACAAGGACTTATAAAATCATTTGTACAGCAAAGGATGCTGTTTCAGTTGCCCCTCTGTTTGTTTGCACCACTGGCATGAATGCTGCCTCTTCTGACCAGGCACCCAGAGTAAGAACACATTTTTCCTCCGCTTTGGACTCTGGTCGGATCACATTGCGATTGTTCATCTCTGGATTTGTCCTCCTGAGTAGAGCAAGCCCAATTTTCTACTCAGGGATATTATCCCAGCTCTGGAGCTGTGTCAATTTAGCTTTCTGTGTCTGGACTGCCACCAGAACTGCTGCTGCAATTACCACCCCCTTCCTCCAAAAACCCCCTCTAACAATTGCAGCAAAATTCTTTTGTCCCTGGCATGGCTCTGCCTGCTCCAAAATGGACAGTGAGCCCCTGGGGTCCTTCAGGGATATCACTGGCTTCCAATATTGATATAAATGCCGCTCTCCAGCTGGTATCCCCTTGGTTGGATTCCTTCCCAGTTTAATAGTAAATTGCAGCCGCAATGGTGTAGCCGGCATTACAGAACATGCCAAGCACAGGCAATAAAGAACCTCAAGAGCTAGTGGGTTTCTTCCTCTCTCTGTCCTTCTTCTCCCTTACAGATTGTCCTGTTCTGTAATAGCAAATTGGGTCGGGGGCCAAGAGAGCTTTAAAGCCATCTTTTCATCTCTTTCATTCGGGCCCAGCAGCTCAACTGCTGTGTGGCACACAGCTCAGATCAGCTCCAGCTGTATCTCTCTGGCAGGCTATTATGCTGGTCAATAACCAGGGGAACATCACCCTTTCTTACCTCCATATACAATCCTATTCCAAGACTTATTCAGGGGAAGGAGAACATCAGCCCCAGGGATTGATATGCAAAACTGCTTGGCTCCTAAGAGCGCTTCATCTGTCACCGTGGAATACAGTCCTATCTGAATCAGCCCAGGTAGACCCCACAGATAAATAATCAGATTTTGACAATTTGCTGGCATTGCGCCACAAAGGGTGCCATTTTAGGAAATGGTTTGGGCCCAGGTTCAGAAACCCGAGGACAAATTCGTATTTTATCACATCTGTTACGATGGGCACAAGTGTGCATAAATCACAATGTCCCCTTTTAAAACACCAGTTATTATCAGATTGATCAATTTATATAGAAACATCCCTGCCCCATCCTGCTCCCTCGGCTCAACTTCCAAGGCAATATACATTAAAATCAACATGCACGCAAACTCAAACAAAAATGCAACGCCTCAGAACAAATAAGTCAACAACAGTAAAACGGCAGCAGTGGACACCGAAAGGAAAGTAAAAGAAGCAGGTGGCAATATAATGAAATGCATTGCTTCTGCAGTCTCAGTGTCGTTGTCCCCTCTTTGCAAATGGGGCCCTAGGCCGAAGGAACAATGGGCAGCTAGTGAGACAGTGCCATGGGTGCCAATCACAAAATGGCTGCTGACGTATGTGGGGGATGCATCTTATACCTTGGGATGATAAAGAGACAGATCAGTCTGTTTACAGTCGGACTCAGTTTTGCATGTGCTTCTCTAGAAGTTCCATTTAGGCATTAAGCTGTGGCTCTTCCCCCCCCCTCTTTTTTTTTAAAGTATGTAAGAGAATCCATATATAAAAGCATAGTTGCAACTGGATTTTATCTATCTATCATCTATCTATCTATCATCTATCTATCATCTATCTATCCATCCATCCATCCAGTGCTTTTTTTTCTGGGGAGACACAGGGGGACGCATACCCCTAAACATCTTCGATCTATCTATCTGTCTATCTATCTATATGTCACCTATCTATCTATCATCTATGCACACATTTCTAAATGTATATGATCCTAAAATATGCTTTTGGGAATTTTGTGGGGGGGTTGAGCCAATAACTGTATCACAAAATTTGGAGGGGGGGGATTGCAAAATCTAAAGGAGCAGTGCTATTTTTCTAGGAAAAAGCGGTGCCGGAACTCACAATGAACGCCTTCCTGTATCAGTATCAAACTTTATTTCAGTCACAGACCAGCATAAGATAACAAATACTGATAAAATGAACACATAAGACTTAAAAGAGGTAAGGGATAAAAACTAGTAACTAAATCTGATTATATCATACATACTTAAAAAGATAGAAACAAGGACAAAACAGTTAAAAGTAAAGACTCTCCTCCTGCAAGAGAGGGGAGTGGTTGTGGTCGGGAGCCGGACTCCGCCTCAAGCAGGGGGCGTTAGCCCCCTGCCTCCCACTCACCTGGCTGGCCCTCGCCCACGGGCAGGCACCCAACCAGGTGCCTGCGAGGCGTGTTTAGCAGCCCAAATTGCTGCGGCACCAGCCTTCCGGCCTCACTTTTCGTCGTCCCGTCGCGAGTCACCCACCCTCCACTCCCTTAGAGCTCAGGGTCTCAGTTTTCTTTTGGCCTTGCTATGGATCTTAGGTTGGTCGCCCTGGTTGTCCGGGGGGCCTGGTAGGAATTTTTCCATTTGGCATTAGGCTTTTTGGTTTTTTGGTTTTTTCGCCTACCTCGTAGCAATCATCACAACTTTCGTGGTATTGGTGGGTAGGTTAGGCATTGGAATAATGTGTTGTGGTGTGTCGAAGGGCTAGGTGTGGCCATCGCCTATGCCTTCAATTTTTGGGTATTCCGTTAAAGGAATCTGGTGGTCGTGTATTCTGTCCGATGCCTGCTTGGCGGGAGGCCATGGCACGACCCTCGGTGACATCAGGGGAGAGCCTATAGTTGGATTAGCATCAACAGGCTCCACCTACTGGTGAATAAACCCCCCTGTTTTAGACTCACCCCTCTCTGAGGGGGTGGAGTCAGCTGACGTAATCCAATGCCTAAGCCAATACCTTTTCACTTGCTGTAATCAATAAAGTTGTGGCCTTTTCTTGCCCATTAACCTTATATCACGTGTCCTCGTGTTTTCATTCCACTACGCGGGGATCGGGTCCTCGAACCACAACTATAAGGGAGGGAGTGTGAAGGAGCACAGCTCTTACATTTTGGGCCTAGTTTGTGGCGCAAAACATCCTTTGATGAATATCCATCATGACAGCGCAAAATCTAGCAAATGAGTATGTAACATCTAGGTTTTCATCTGGAAGTAGCAGGGAGATATAAAGTTGTTCTGTGCGACCTGGGATTTTTTGTAGTTTAGGTAAGATGAACCTAGCTCATATAGCTGTGTAGTCTTGGCAGTGAAAAAAAGACATGTTCTGTTGTTTCCAGTTGCCCAAAGCCACAGGGGCATTTTCTCTCCTCGTATGGTTCCTCGTATGCCTTCCTTGTTCTCTTAGAACAGCAATGGCGCCCACCTGGGAGGTGCCAGAACTAAGTTCCAGCAAGTTCCAGCTGGAAAAAAGGCCCTGCAAAGGAGAATAAAGGTTCTCTCTACCTGGAATGCCTCTGTAAAGACTGAACCTTTCAGTGCTGCCACAAGGCTGTTGCTCTGAGCCCCACAGCTCTTGTTGAACAACAGCTCTTGTCAGCCTCAGCCAGCATGGTCAAGGATGATGGCAGCTGTAGTAAAGCAACACTTGAAGGCCACCATGTTTGCTGTCCTGCTCTAAAATGTGTTCTAGAGTGCCCAGCGTATTTCATCCAACTGCTGTACTCTCTTTTGTTATCCTTCGTTCCTGCACTTTATTAATATTCTCAGCGACTGAGCATAACTGTTGCCCCCATTCCAGGTCCCAAATTGCCACAATGTTTAATCCACAAGGCTTATGGGACATAGGTGTCATTCTCCTGCAGATCCTTCTGCTCCCATATACCTGACCTTGCTAACAATCCGTAAGTGACTGGCTTAATTTTTGCTATTGAATTAAAAAAAATAAAATTCCTTAGGACACTTCAATAGTTCTTTAATTTTATGCCATCAATTTATAAATGAATCAACTTATTTCGGTCACTAACCAGAGTGGGGAATTTATATACAGTGGTACCTCGGGTTACATACACTTCAGGTTACATACGCTTCAGGTTACACACTCCGCTAACTCAGAAATAGTGCTTCAGGTTAAGAACTTTGCTTCAGGTTGAGAACAGAAATTGTGCTCTGGTGGCGCGGCAGCAGCAGGAGGCCCCATTAGCTAAAGTGGTGCTTCAGGTTAAGAACAGTTTCAGGTTAAGTACGGACCTCAGGAACAAATTAAGTACTTAACCTGAGGTACCACTGTACTGTAACACCATAGGTTCTCTAAAGCACAGCTTTGCAACTGGTTAGAACTTTGGTGGCCCAAGAAATTTTGCTTCCTGAGGCAAAGCAGCGAATGCTATCCCTCCCCTTCCAGTTCAGGTGCATCAATAGTAATGGTAAAAGGCAAGGCGAGTTATTTTAGTAGCTCAGGTAAGCAAATCCCACATATTACTCCGTAACAATAAAGGTTGTTCTATTCCTCCATAACAATAAAGGTGCAATAAGAATAAATTAAATAACGAGCAATTTGGCAGACAGTCATAGCTCAGTACCCAACACAAAGTTAGACCATTTGGTCCACCTAGCTCAGTATTGGAGATACTCAGGAGATGACAGGGATTAGACCTGAGACTTTCTCATTTACACACACACACACACACACACACACACACACACTTTTATTGAATTTTTCAAATATTTTCACAATAACTGTCAAATAAAAAAATTACATTATTTCACACATTGACTTCCCGCCCTTCCCTCCATAATGTTTTTACTCAAAGCTTTTCTACTGCATTATATTTTTATTTATTACAAAAAGTTTCTCTATTGCAATTACTTTGTCATTTTTCTTCTGTTGCTTTTATCCATATCCTGCCTGTGATTTCATTTTGCTGTAATGCTTTTTCAAACAGTCCATGAAAAATCCTCCATTCTTCTACAAAAAGTTCATCATTTTGATCTCTTAATTTTGCTGTCAGCTTTGCCATTTCCCTTTAGTCCATTACTTTCAAAAGCCACCCCTCCTTTGTTAGAACCTTCTATTTTTCCCCCATTTCTGTGCATATAATATTCTAGCTGCTGTTGTCACATATATAAATAAATTAGGCATCTTCTTTGGAACCCCTGTCCCTATTATACATATAAAGGAAGCTGGGACTTTCTACATGCAAAACCTGTTATCTACCAGTGATCACTGATATGGCCCTTCCATTGGAACTCAGTGAGATGTTTCTAGATGGGGCTTTTCCCAGGTGAACATGCATAGGATTTCAATGTTAAAGTTGGTTTTATTTCTTGCTTCACACATCCCAAAGCAATTTACAAGAAAAGTAATATACAAAACGATATCATAAAACATTCCCACCAAATTCAAGGCAGAAATACCCCAAATCACCTAAAGCACAGAACATTCACCCCACACCCAATGATTGCAGATCAGAAGGTCAGCGGTTCAGATCTGTTTGACGGGGTGAGCTCCCGTTGCTCTGTCCTAGTTCCTGCCAACCTAGCAGTTTGAAAGCACACCAGTGCAAGTAGATAAATAGGTAACACTGCGGTGGGAAGGTAAACGGTATTTCTGTGCATTCTGGCACTTGTGGTTCGAGGACCCGATCCCTGCATAGTGGAATGAAAACACACGGACACGTGATATAAGGTTAATGGGCAAGAAAAGGCCACAACTTTATTGATTACAGCAAGTGAAAAGGTATTGGCTTAGGCATTGGATTACGTCAGTTGACTCCACCCACTCAGAGAGGGGTGAGTCTAGAAAGGGGGGTTTATTCGCCAGTAGGTAGAGCCTGTTGATGCTAATCCAACTATAAGCTCTCCCCTGATGTCACTGAGGGTCGTGCCATGGCCTCCCGCCACACAGGCATCGGACAGAATACACGAAAATGTGGGTGACTCGCGACGGGATGACGAAGAGTGAGGCCGCGTGGCTGGCGCGGCAGCGATTTTATGCTGCTGTCCACGCCCCTTCAAAGGCACCTGGTTGGGTGCCTGCCCGTGGGGCATGGTGCGCCAGCCAGGTGAGTGGGAGCCAGGGGGCTAACGCCCCCTGCTTGAGGCGGAGACCGGCTCCCGCCCACAACCACTCCCCTCTTTTGCAGGAGGAGAGTCTTTGTCACAGTCCTCCATGCACCACAAGCAGTTTAGTTATGCTGGCCACATGACCCAGAAAGCTGTCTGCGGACAAACAGCGGCTCCCTCAGCCTGAAAAAGGAGATGAGCTCTGCAACCCCATAGTCGCCTTTGACTGGACTTAACCATCCAGGAGTCCTTTACCTTTACCTTTTACCTAGAACAAACACCAGAAACAGTCACTAAAAGTTGGATCATTGATACTGTCCAAATGCCCCTGAAAATAAAAATGTTTTTTCCTGGTGCCAAAAAGATGCAGAGTCCCTTTCTAAACATGATTAACTTGGCAGTAAGCCCTACTGAATTCACTAGGACTTGTGTCTTAGTAAGCATGCTGAGGAGTGCTGCCTTAATTATGTTTGGCTATATCTGAAGTATCTCTGTTGATTTTAGTACAAGCCCCAAGATGTATATCAATAGCTTATTTACAGATTTAACCAATTGTGCCTACGGTGGTAGAATGAGTGATGGGGCTGGGTGCGCACATGGCGATAAGGAGGGTTTTGGTAGAGTTGCTCAGATTGTGGCTTCCGTCCAAGCTGTTACTGAAATAGTAATGATTCAGGAGAGTGGAAATAATGATACAAATGCAGCTCTTAAATCGTACCAAATTGCATCTCCTCTAGTGCCTTAAATTAAAATTACTGCTGGGGGGAAAGAGAGAGAGTGAAATGATTAGTATAGCTTTCTGTTGTTATATAGCTGAGTTGTATAGAGCTCCTTCTTCTGCAACCACAACAACAGGCCTATCTCCAGCAGGGTAACACTTGTGCTGGGAAAGACACCTTTGTTTTGTCACAGCTTCCCAAAGTGCCAGGGTGAGCTATCCTGGAAAATGGGAGCAAATTCTGCCTGGATTCCCATCATCTGATGGTGCAAACAGAACGTCTCGAATGTTGTCCCATATTTATTTTGGAGCTACTCTATTCTAAAACGAGCAGAAAAGATCAGAACTGAATTCAGGGAGGTTATGACCCTCTTCAGGGGTGGGGAACATTTTTCAACCTCGAGGGCCTCATTCCTTTATGGGCAACCCTTCTGGGGGCCACATGGAAGTGATGGGTGGGGTAAGAAGCAATACTGGACAGAGCGACATAGGTAACCTTTGTACAGTAGGCTCACATGCCACAGTTACAGTAGGCTCACATTTCCACATGTGCATCTCTCTCCATTGTCTATCCAGGCAAGTAAGAGAGGCCTCATCAGAGCTCAAAAAAACACTCCAGCTAGGTCAGAATCCTCAAGGATGACATGGGGAAGGGTCCTTGAGGGGCATGGTTTGGGGAAGAGTCCTGAGCAGGGACAAATCTACTATGGAACTAATAAAGTTGAAGCTTCAAGGCCCCTAATCCCGAAGGGCCCCAGAAGTGACTATAGTCCACATTGCTTAAAATGTTTGGGTCTAGTAGACCCAATTTGGGTTGTGCAACACAAATCAATTTTTTTGTTGTTGTTGCATGTATTTCAATAATCCCAAAGTTAGCATCAGTAGCACAGAAGTTGTAAACGTGTGGTGATCTGTCATGGAACAAGGGCTTTTTTCTCAGCTAGAACTCTCTTCTAAGCAATTGAGGGAAGTGTTCATGTTTAGTTCCAGCACCATTTTTTCTAGAAAGATAGCACTGCGTGGAACAACCCCACTGAAGAAGATAACAGTGGTTACCCAGACCTCGTTGCTGGTTGCAAAGGGGCCCCATAACAGTTCAAGCTTGAGGGCCCCTAAAATGTAGGCCTCCTACTGGTCCTGAGGGCCCCATTCAGCTCACAGACCAGAAGTTCCCCACCTCTGGACTCCAGTTAAAACAAACAAACAAATAAACCACATGTGCCGTGACGATGCTGTTATGGTGCAGGTTTTTCTTCCCCTGTAAGCAATACCTAATAAAGTGCAGCTGAAACAGGAAACCTTTGCCGCAGGGTGATATGATCTCACACGTTTCCATGGCAACGAGCCCCAAGTTCCGGCCCAAGGCATGGAGACCCTTCAGGAGCCCTAAAAAAGGAAATATGGATTCCATGTCCAATTAAGTGTGCCGTGCTTAGGAAAACAGCCCTGTTGTTTTATGAAACATTATCGTTTGTGTCAAGCTGTAAGAGCTGCTTCTCGCATCACCATTTTTAGGGTGGACCCCTGAGAGGTTTTAGCTTCTCTTGGAGAAGAAGGATGTAGTGACACTAGGGGCAGAGCTTTATCTGTAGCGTTATGAGCTATGTTCCTGAAGGAAGCCCATCAGGCCACCTCATTGCTTAGCACCAGGCAAGTCATTAAAATCTGTTTAGTTGTCCCAGGCACTTTAATTGGAGCTTTTTCACAGGGTAGTGCTGCTGCTTTATCTCATTTGCTTCTGCTGTCTGTTGACTTTAGTTTTCTTTCAGTGACTCCATGATTTGCCCACAGCTCACCTTATTGACTTCATTATTTGGGAAGCACTGAATAATAATAATAATAATAATAATAATAATAATAATTTATTATTTGTACCCTGCCCATCTGGCTGGGTTTCCCTAGCCACTCTGGGCAGCTTCCAACAAAGACCAAAAATACACTAAAATGTCACACATTAAAAACTTCCCTGAAGAGGGCTGCCTTCAGATGTCTTATGAATGTTATGTAGTTGTTTATCTCTTAGTCATCTGATAGGAGGGCATTCCACAGGGCAGGTGCCACTACCAAGAAGGCCCTCTGCCTGGTTCCCTGTAGCTTTGCTTCTCACAATGAGGGAACTGCCAGAAGGCCCTGGGTGCTAGACTTCAGCATCTGGGCTGAACAGTGGGGGTGGAGACGCTTTTCAGGTATACTGGGCCGAGGCCGTTTAGGCATATCCTCCAACATTTCTCCGATCATAATGGGGACATCCCATTCTATAATGTTAGTTTTACTATTTATACCCCACACATCTTACCGGGTTGCCCAGCTACTCTGGACGGCTTCCAACATATATAAAAACCTAATGAAACATTAAACATAAAAAACCTTTCCTATACAGGATTGCCTTCAGACAGTTCTGGAGTCGAATAACTCTATACCCTCCAACATTTCTCCATTGAAAAAAGGGACATCCTAAGGAAAAGCGGGACATTCCGGGATCAAATCAGAGACTGGGACATTTTCTCTAAATCAAGGACATCCCTGGAATATAGGGACATTTAAAGGGTCTGGGCTGAATACAAATTTGATGGAATTTAAGTGGTTTTGAATGTTGCCACAGTGCAATGAAGGCTGCAAAGGATTAAGAGGGCAACAGTTGTTTACATCTAGGGCTTTTGCCATCTTTTACCTTTCCAGAGGTTGAAACAAAATTAAAAAAAATCCTTCCAGTAGCACCTTAGAGACCAGCTAAGTTTGTTATTGGTATGAGCTTTCGTGTGCATGCACACTGCTTTGAATAGCTCAATGACAGGCAAAAATCAAATAGACACCCTTTTGGAAGCTGCAACGGTGGAACTTCTACCTGACTTTCAGGGCCTCTGTCTGGAAAAAAAGAGATGCCACTCCCTATCAGTATACAGAAGGCCGTTATAATCCCATTCGCCATAATATACTATTGGTGCAAGGGCTTTGGTTAAATAACTTGCAGGCCTCACCTAGGTCTACTATTCTCAGCCACTGTCAATTTTAGTGGGAGTTCAGAAGTTTATTGCTGGATTCAACCTACTACGATCATGCGTAGTAAAAGTTCATGTTGAAAAATAGTATTGAGGTAACTCCAGAGCTAGAGAACGCAGACTCAGATGTGGAGTGGGAAACTTGTACAGTGGTACCTCGGGTTATAGACACTTCAGGTTACAGATGTTTCAGGTTACAGACGCTTCAGGTTACAGACTCCACTAACCCAGAAATAGTACCTCGGGTTAAGAACTTTGCTTCAGGGCGAGAACAGAAATCGTGCTCCGACGACGCAGTGGCAACGGGAGGCCCCATTAGCTAAGGTGGTACCTCAGGTTAAGAATGGACCTCCAGAACAAATTAAGTTCTGGTACCACTGGTACAGGTACCACTGTAATGAAATTAGGACTTCATCAGTCATAAGAAAGGACCACCTGGCACAACCAAGGGCAAGTCAGGCTGCTTACAATTTTCCCATCAAATGGTGGGAATGTTTATGAAAAAGTGGCTACAAATATGAGCTGTAGTTCAGGATATGGACAAATGTATGCCCCAATTTCTCCACATTTTTCTCTCTTAGCTAACCACTCCATCCCATGGTAGCCTCACTTTCATTTCATTTAATGCCTTATCTACCAAGGAGGCACGAATCTGACCATTATTTTGCTTCATCTTTTTTCCAATCTTCAGTTCAATTCACCACTTTTCTGCACTGGTTTGCAATTAAAGGAAACAAACAAGTCCTTGTGGAAGTTCATCAGCATTTAGTGTGCATTTCTCCTAATACATGCAGTTTTGCCACACACATACACAGGTTTCTATATATGCACTATATATATAGGTTTCTATATATAATATGCATTGTTGTACACTTTTTTGTTAGACAATTGCATCTCAACATGTGGAGAAGTGCAAGTTTTGAATGGCAACGGCATGCTAGTTCCTGCATTGTTCCAAAAAGTGCAGATTAGGAAGGTTTGCCTTAAACTGAAAACTGAACAGAATTTTCTCCCCCATCCCTGTTATCTAGAACGTGTTTGTTTGGGGTTTTTTGCAAGCCAATTGGTGTGATGAGTACTGATCTCACAAAGGCACTGATATCCAAGACAGTGTTTCAGGACTTTCCTCAAAGGTTACCGATTCCCCAAATATGCTGAATTACCTTGCAGTCTCTTTCCCTTTTCAGATACAAACTTTCCCTGTGTTGGCAAAGTGGGTCCTGGGAGAAGGCAAATGGACAGACAGACAGACAGATGTGTTGTGAAACATGCCTATTTAACAAATACTCTCTCTTTTTTTAAGGCAACTTAGTTTAATCAATTGCCTTGCTTCCCTGTATCTTGAAATCTATGAATGACAATGGAAGTGCATGCAGCAGGAAGGTTTCCCAATTTATTTTCATTGATTGAGAAAGCCACAAGCAATGCTGTTTTCCTCCATTTCAGAGGGGCAAATGGCACGTTACACACAACCCTGACACCATTCTTCTCTGGCCTTTGTACAACTTGGAGAAGTGGTCGCTCAAAGTGGGAAAGTAGTATGGGGAGGGAAAAGGAGTTCTGAATCCTCTCCCTGCCCACAATTTCTCAGCCCCAAATGATTCAACGTACATTTTGATCCATGAAGGAAGAAGCATGGCGTAGAGAAAGTACGGGTGTGGAATGGGTTAAGTACCTCCTTTGCCATTTCTCCACTCAAAATCCCCCCCCCCCGGGTGATTTTCCTGAAAAGAAAAAAGGAGTTTCTCTTGCACACATTTATGCTTAGCATTTAGTTAGCCCCAAAGCAGGCTCCTTGTCCAGCTCTGAGATTAATCATCTCCATGTCATCAAACGTAATGCATGAAGTGGCCCTCAAAATCATGTTGCGAAAATATAATTCAAGCTTCCAATATTCCAGCTAGTAACTGATGTGAAAGAAGTGAAGTGTTCTTTTTTCCCCCCCAGAGCAGAAAAGATTTATCATTAGTATGACATGTTAACATTTGAAGATGAAGTGCTTCTGTTTCATAAGAGGTGGGAATTTGAATTTGGGGGGTGGGGAACAGAATCCCATCATTTTTTTAATTGTAGCAGGTCACCAGCCTGATGGGGCTAATCATTTCATTAAAGGCAAAAGCACAAACCTCGGTAGATGGGCGTTTGTGTGACGGAAACAAAAGAAACCTACAACATGCTAAAATCGTTTATTGGCGTGCATCACTTTCCCTGGGATTTGAGCAGTGACTTCCTAATTCAGAGTACCTTTCTGATAACATTCAAAATTCATGACAATGAAAAAGAAAAAGGAAAAAAATCACTTGGAGCATTTCCAGCTGTAAATAGAAATATTAACGTTTGGCTAACGAACAAAGACTTTTTTCTTTGCCTTCAGTGTTAGGGGAAGGGTCATGGCTCACTGGTGAGGCCACTGCTTTGCTTCCTGAAGCAGAGGCAACAAATGACACCCCTCACATTCCCATCAAGGTGCAAGTCATTTTGAAAGATGAAGCAAGGAAATCCCACAAGCGCATCTCTTCCTCCATAGCGTGAAACATGGAGGGCCATAGCTCAGTGGCCATAGCTCAGAGCTTCTCAGCAGTGGTGGTGCGGCACTGCTTGCCCATCACCAGCATCACTGCAGATTACCAGGGTGGGGGGTCAGCATGGTGTAGAGGCACCGCTGGGAGCACTGGATTGGCTCCACCAGAGCGTTTGCACCATGCCAACCTCCCCACTGCCTCGCTCCTCCTCTTCTCCTCCCTGGTAATCTGTAGCAACACTGGTGGTGGGAGCTCAGGTAAGCATTGCTCAGCCGCTGACCACCACTGCTGCTTTGCATGTGGAAGGTTCCAGAATTCCTGGTATCTCCAGACAGATCTTGGAAGGCCTCTTGCCTGAAAACCCTGGAGAACGTCTAGTGATCAGTGCAGCCAATACTGAGCTGGAATGACTAAGGTAGTCCTTCCTGTGTGAAATTTAGCCTCTGGAAGTTTAAGCAGATTTGGCATTGCCATACAGCAAAGAAGAAGAAGAGGAGGAGGAGGAGGAGTTTGGATTTGATATCCTGTTTTATCACTCCCCTTCAGGAGTCTCAAAGCGGCTAACATTCTCCTTTCCCTTCCTCCCCCACAACAAACACTCTGTGAGGTGAGTGGGGCTGAGAGACTTCAGAGAAGTGTGACTGGCCCAAGGTCACCCAGCAGCTGCATGTGGAGGAGCAGAGATGTGAACCCAGTTCCCCAGATTACGAGTCTACCGCTCTTAACCACTACACCACACTGGCTCTCAGTGGCACAACCTGCTTCTGGGAGCACTGTGTGAGGAAACGGAGAGGTGATGGCAGGAATTGAGGTCTCAATGGTGAAGCAGAACTGTTTACAGTGTTTCCTGTTTCCTGTTTCCTCATCAGGGAAGTGCCATTTGAGGTCCCCTTCAGATTAACATTGAGCTGGCATTGCCTTTAAAAATGCAACAGAAGACTAGGTTGCATCAAGTGTGACTAGGAAGGGGAAATAAATACAATTCAGTTTGCATTTTAATAGGAGCATTGTTAATTTGCACTTTCTAATATAGCACACAGACCAAATTCCAGCCATCCGTCAAGATTTGCACTGCTCTGAATGTTGCTGTCAGGGAACTGTCATCAGTGCCGGAGGGAGAGAGCAAAATCCAGAGGGATTCCGGAGAGCGTCCCGGGAGTGGGAGAGGCAGCCCATCTTCTGGGGAAGAGAATCAGCGTAGCACCAGTGGAGAAGGGGGGCAGATGGGGGAAGCGGCAAGGCGGTCCCATGACTCCTTGCCGGGGACCAGCGGGGAGAGTAGAGGTCCTCCACTGCCTACGCCCTCCTTGCGCAGAAGGCTTTAGCGCAGAGAGAGTAGGAGGAGACTAGGCGTCAAAGAGCTTCTTTGCTGGAAGAAGTTTAAGAAATGCCCACTGATGGATTCTGCCAGCGATTGAGACAGCCACGGGCGAGTGGCTGTCCGGACAGGAAAGGTTCACTCAGGCAACCCAGCCAGGTGTTTGCACCAGCTTACGCACGAGCAACCCCTAGAACCACTACAGTTGCAAAGCAGTTCTCTGTCCAAAGGTTGTGCACACACAAAATGCACATATTAGGGGGAAATGAGAACAAATGTGTTATTAGTAGCTTTAAAATGTGTGTATTGGGAGAAATAGGTGCTAACATGCCGGTCAATTTTTGTGAGGATTTTTAAAACAAATTCAAAGTGGTGCAAAAATGTGGTGAACCAATTTTAAGATTGGAAATATGAGAAACTGAGTGAAACTGAAACAGACAGAGTTGTTCATCCCCAGGTATGGCTTTCCCTTTTACAATGCTAGGAGAAGCCAAAGCTGGTACCTTCAGCTTGCTTTTTGGAGAAGGCTGTCTGTATCTCAATAGCAGAGCACCTGCTTGGCATGCAAAAGGTTGTGAATGTCCCCTGTCTGAAACTCTGGAGAGATGCCACCAGTTAGACAACACTGAGCTAGTTTGGCCAAGAGTTTGACTTTCTATGTTCAAATGCTTCCTGTGTTCCTCTGTTCCAAAACTTGGGAGAGTCACAAGTGGCTCAGCTGGGCTCTGGGGTACATGTTATGATATATTTTGTCCATTTCTGCTGTGTTCTAAGCACATCACAGGACCATAAGCCCTGAGAAGAAAGGGAGGCATCAATATCTTTTGTGATGAAAGGCAGGACATAGAAATGAAAAATGAAAATTACAAGGGCTGTAACCTCATGGGTAGAGCCAGTGCTTTGCATGCAAAAGGTCTCATGTTCGATCCCAGGTAAGGCTATTGCCAGGTAAAATGGGGGAAGACTCCTGCCAGCTTCCTACATTCCAATGTAAAAATAAAAGTGACAGTATGATTGGTAGAACCTCACATCAGGAGCATCTTGCGACTGAAGGTCAGTTTGGAATCTGTAGAGAAGGGAAGCCAGTCAGAAGAGAGGAACATGCTGCAAAGGGATGGAGACTGTGACAGCTCTCAGCCAAATTGGGATTTTGGCAGGCAGTTGCCTCTATGATAGTAACCTGTGCACAGCCAGGCTTGTGAGCCATCCAGTAGATTCTGAGGACGAATTGCTCGCCATATATCATGACCTGCTTTACAACCTCTCTCATTTTTAGCGTTTCTACACAACTAGTTTGGGGAAAATGACAGGCAGTTTGTTGAGCTCCTGGTGGACTCCAGTACAGTGGTACCTCATGTTATGGATGGGATCCGTTCCGGAGGCCCAGCCATAATGTGAAATGCCTGTAACTTGAAGTGCGTCTGCGCAGGCGCACGGTGCAATTTGGCACTTCTGCACAGGCGCAAGCGGCGAAACCCGGAAGTAACCTGTTCTGGTACTTCCGGGTTGCCACAGGACGTAACGTGAAAAGACGCAACATGAAGCGGACACAACACAAGGTATGACTGCACATAGCTACTAGGCTTTGTTTGGCTTTGTGGGCCACAAGTCATGCAATTTTGCTCCTGCAACTCGGATGCAGTTGCTGTGTGTGCTGAAAAAATGCCTCACCACCACTGCTATCCACCTAGGTCGTCAAAAAGGGCAAGCCATTGTGGCAGGACCCAAAGTGAGACCTCTGATCATAAACCCAGCAAAAGCAGGAGATCACCTTAGCAGGAACATTTGATGCAGTGACTTGCAGGAGGCAATGATGGAAGGAGATCTGTGATTGAGAGGTACATCTCACACTGCATTTTGCTTCCTGCTTAACTTGAAAGCCTCAGTTCATCAATTCTGAATAATAGCCATCAGTGGCTATTGAGATCTGTGTTCACATTTAGACTGTGACTCTTCAGTTGTGAGAACAGAATAACGATATGACGCATTTTTGTGATTAAACAGGAATTGTTTATTCATTATAGATTCTGGATTTTGCCCCCTGTTGGGCAAAATATTACAATTGCAATATTAAAGATATGCATTTCTTTCACATTTCCTTCCTGGTTACAATGTGCCCTTAGCCTGCATTCATAAAAAGGTGGTGCAGAAAGTAGATATTGATTACCATTCATTACCTTATACAAAAGAGACCCCAGACAACTAATTATGAATATATAAGAAATGAATACGATAAGTGCATAAAATTTTAAGACAGCACTAAAAAGTGACAATGCACTGAGGTTTTTTAAAAAAATGTATTTCTCCCACGACAACATCCGTATAATCCCCAGAAAAACTGACCAGTTAAAATAGCCAATGAAAAGGTGCTCTCCAAAGCAACAGAAAAAGTACAGCAATCAAATGCCTGGGAGAGGGAGGAAAGTCTTCAGCAGATGCAAAAAGGATGAAAATGTAGGTGCCAGGTGAGTTTCCTTGGGGGGAGTGTTCCATAAACAGGGGGCCACCGCAGAAAAGACTCTCTATGATGGCACTTTGAAGGAGGTCTTCCAATGATGAGTTCAGGCTCCATGTAGGCTGATATGGAAATATGTGTTCCATAAGGAACTGGGGTCCAGAGCCATGGAAGGTTTCATAGGTTAAAACTAGCACTGTAGATTAGGCCCAGAAATGTACTGTAAGCCCATGCCTAACATCAACAAGATGGGAAGCCTTTAAAGCAGTATGACGAACCTTTGGCCCTTCCATTGTTGTTGGACTCCAGCTTCTTTCAGCTCCAGCCACCATGTCCAGTCTTCTGGAATGATGGGAATTGCTGGATTTGGGTCCTCTGGCTACCCTTATGTTACCATGATTGTCTGAAATAGGACAGTGACTATTGACTGTTGGCATTTTTGTGAATACAGTGGTACCTCAGGTTAAGTACTTAATTCGTTCCGGAGGTCTGTACTTAACCTGAAACTGTTCTTAACCTGAAGCACCACTTCAGCTAATGGGGCCTCCTGCTGCTGCCACGCCGCCGGAGCACGATTTCTGTTCTCATCCTGAAGCAAAGTTCTTAACCTGAAGCACTATTTCTGGGTTAGCGGAGTCTGTAACCTGAAGCGTATGTAACCTGAAGCGTTGCGGTACCACTATACTGACAATCCCATTTATATATATATCAGAAAATTGATTTGTGTTTGACCTCTTTTTAGATATATACCAGTGAATATTCATGATGTAAAGAGTTTTCAGACATTGCCCAAATGTGTCTGGATTTACCAATATACACAAGTGAGCATCAACAGCCATGTCTTTTGGATATTCACTGTAGCACATGTGCACACACACTGTAAGTGCAGAAAAACGAGTAAAAAATCATGAACTTGTCAACCCAGTGCTGTAAAGAGGCATTCTGTTGTGCTACAATACTTCTTGGGAAGACAGCGATAGCAAGCCTAAGTTGCCTTGCTAGGAAGTAAGTTTGATTGGGTTCACTGGACATTCTTGCTAAATGAGCTTATTTAGGATCAGGCTAAAATCAAGAAGTCATTCTCATGCAATTTTGGACCTTTTGATGCTAGAGCATTTTTAGCCATTGCACAATACTTCTCTAATTGATTTCCTAGTGACAGTGGCATCATATTCCATCTGCATGTAATGGGTTGTGTTGTATCGCATCTAAAATATTAAAGCTTGCAGCCAATATAGCCTCACCACTGTCTGCTTATTTTAAAATCTGGCTAGACGTGCACTTCTGCATAATAGCAGTGGACAGCTTCCCAAAAAGTATTTTTTGAAAAATCCCCTTCACTTTGATTAAGTAAAATTAAAACAAAATGGTCGCAGAATGTTGTGGGCCTCACACAAAAAAGATGGGGCACTGCAGTGGACACATATCTGAATTATGATTGACATTTTTAATAAACAAATCTGACTAGATGGTGCTCCCATGCTGGACTTGGTCTGTTTTATTTCCATGGGTCAAGCACATAGTTAAATCTTTCCCACTGAAATGGTTGGGTCTTGAAAACATTTAAGATTAACTTTAACTTATCTGGATTGTGTCTAAACATGGGTGTTTTTTTTTAATTTTAATTAACTGTGTCTACTCCTTCTTTGATGTCGTTTCCATCTTTCTTATTGGAACAGCCATGCCCAAGAGAGTTTATAAAATAAATCAGGGAAGTCTGTTCTGAGTCATGATATTAGGAGTGATCTAGTCCCTCATATGCCACCCCTTCTTAAATTTTATCTGCATTTGTTGAGATTATACTTAATGAATGGTGGATCCATTACTCAGAGGCGGGCAAGCTACAAGGGTAAGCTGGTCCTTGTTAACAACACAAAGTTATCCAGATTTTGCCTTGTTATAACACCATCCCACTGCCACACACACACAAAAACCAATGCTAAGATGCTGGGAATCTATACTGCTGGGCAATGATCATTCTGGCACAGCATATAGACAAATATAGTTGTCGCAAACCAAAGCATTTTAAATTTCTACTTTCAGAATGGCAGAGCCTAGTAAAAGGAAGAAAAGGGCCTCGATTAAAGCAGGAATGGGGAACCTGTGACCTTCCAGAGGTTGTTGTACTACAACGCCCTTCATTCCCATGCTGGCTGGGGCTGATGGGAGTTGGAGTCCAACCACATCAAAAGGCACCACCCCCACCCCCGAATTAAAGCATCCTTGACAAGCTGCCTAAGACTTTTGCACCTTTGCAGCTAACAGAGTGAAGGCCTGACTGTCTAAATGCTGCACAGACTAAGGCTGCTGCAATCAGAAAATGAAGCTATCAAAGGCAGGACCCCTTCATGTAGACGCATGGCATATATGGCATGTTGTGGTTGTGAGGCTGAATTTAATCATTAGCTGATCTGGACATCAGAGAGATCTGATGGGAGAGAGCTGGGGAGCATAATCTTGAATAGGTATGGAACATCTCAGGCTGTTCATGTTCCCCAAAGAATCTGGGCCTGTAAATTGTAAGCCAAGCACTGGTGGTGATGATAAATAATATTATGGTGGGTTTGTTCATAGATGTTGCTTTTCAGCCACACACAAAATTCCTCTTCCTCCATTTTGGCTCCCATGCATGCCTAGCCTTCCAGGTCTGGACATTAGACGAATCCTCTGCATAGTAGGTCCGCCATAGAATCAATCACCCTCATTGGTGCTGTGTTCTCCCTTGCTGGAGGTCTTGAAGCAGAGGCAGAATAGATATCTGTTGGAATTATCTCTGGATTTCCCACCTCAGACAGAGGGTTAGACTACTACCAAGCAGCCTATAAGGCTTTGTTTAACTCTGTGCTTTTCTTCTAATTTTTAATTGCAAATATAGCAGAAAACAGGAGACAACGTCATTTCCCATTAACAATAAGAATAATCCACCTTACTATACACCCTAATCTTACTATACACCCAAATTGGTATCCAAATGAGATTGTTGATTATTAAGATAGATGTTCAACTGTGGAAGGACCACTGAGGAATGGATGGTGGGTCTTCACCTTTCCAACCTTGAAGCACAAGTCTCTTTGCAACCATAAGGACTCACAAGCGCCACTTTTTAATGCCTTGATCAATGTATACATTTCACCATTATATTACTGGTTTCTTTGTTGCAGTTGTAACAGGTGTAGAAACTCATGCATGGTGCAGACAAACTGAATAGAGAAAATGTTCTCTTGCACCCTCATAAGACTAGAACTTGTAGACATCCTTTGAAGCTGAGTGTTGGAAGACTTAAGACGGAGAAAAGAAAATCCTTCTTCACACAGCACATAGTTAAGACTTTGGAATTTCCTCCCACAAGAAGTGATGGCCACCAACTTGGATGGCTTCAAAAGAGCATTGGACAAATTAAGTGCTTTTTTTTTTCCTAGAAAAAGAGGTGCCGGAACTCACCATGAACGCCTCGCTTGTTCTCCTATAATTGCTATGGCACCCATCTGAGAGGTGCCGGAATTGTGTTCCATCAAGTTCCAGCTGAAAAAAAGCCCTGGATAAATTTATGGTTATCAATGGCTCCTGCCCACAACTGCTATCTTCTTCCTCCTCTATCAGAGTCACTATGGAATAGCTGCTGAGACCATATAACACCGGTCCTAAAAGACCTACATTGGCTCCCAGTACATTTCCAAGCACAATTTAAAGTGTTGGTGCTGACTTTTAAAGCCCTGTACAGTGGCACCTAGGGTTACAGACGCTTCAGGTTACAGATGCTTCAGGTTACAGATTCCACTAACCCAGAAATAGTACCTCGGGTTAAGAACTTTGCTTCAGGATGAGAACAGAAATCGTGCGGCGGTGACGCGGTGGCAGCAGGAGGCCCCATTAGCTAAAGTGGTACCTCAGGTTAAGAACAGTTTCAGGTTAAGAACGGACCTCTAGAACAAATTAAGTTCTTAACCCAAGGTACCACTGTATACCTGAAGGAGGGTCTCCACCTCCATCGTTCAACCCGGATACTGAGGTCCAGCTCCGAGGGCCTTCTGGTGGTTCCCTCACTGCAAGAAGTGTGGTTACATGGAACCAGGCAGAGGGCCTTCTCAATAGTGGCACCTGCCCTGTGGAATGCCATCCCATCAAATGTCAAGGCAATAAACAACTATCAGACTTTTAGAAGACATCTGAAAGCAGCCCTGTTTAGGGGTTTTTAATGTTTGATCTTTTATCATGTTTTTAATATTCTGGGGGGAGCCGCCCAGATTGGCTGAGGAAAGCCGCCCAGATTGGCTGGGGAAACCCAGCCAGATGCCTGGGGTATAAATAAATTATCATCTTCATCATCATCATCATCATCATTATGCCTATGGATGCCAATGGCTGGAAATCACAAGTGGAAAGAGTGCTGTCATGCTCAGGTCCCTTTTTTGCACATCCTGTAGCCATCTGGTTGGCCATTGGGAGAGCAGGATGTTGGAAAGGATGTTCCTATTTTCATTGGAGAAATGTTGGAGGATATGCTAGTTGGGCCATTGACCTGATCCAACAGGCTCTTCTTATGTCCTTAATGCAATGAAGATTAAAAAAAATACCTTCTTGGCAGCGCATGTCATAGTGATCTTAAAAGTAAGAAGGCGAGGCTCATCAAGATGCCAGGAAAACAGAGGGATAGTGATCAAAGTGTCTTTGATTCAGTACCTTTCACTTTATGCAGCTGACTGTATTCCTTGATTTTTTTATTGATACCTCCCCACTAACTTTGAAGAGTCGGTCCATCTAAGTATTATTTCACAAGAAGTGGGGAAATGGCTGTCACAATTGCATTTACTCAATTTTCATAAATCACTTTTCAAAATGATGATTCCCTGCCTCGGCCCTCTGGCTCATTCAGCCAGCCCAGTTCCCATCGGCAATTGTCTAAGGCAAACACAGATTGATGTGGCGGTGGCAGAGAAGAGGTGCAGCCTGCTGTCTGTCCTCTGCCTCTGTTCCTCTTGGCCAGCTCACATGGCTCCTTCCACATTGCACAGAGCAAACCGTGATAGACTTGAGCAAACGAGAAATGCAATTCAAGCGCAGCTTGCCAAGCACCACCGGAACACAAGGCTGTCACACCTTGTGAAGAATTAGGGGACAGCAAGGGAAGCTTAGCACGCAGCACCATGAAAATGAATGTCTTTAAATATATCTTAATATCACAGTGGGATTGACAGCTCTAATATGAGATTGCTTTTCTTTTTTTAATGTAAAAGATTTAATTCCAGGGGGGCACTCAGGCTGCAACCAGTTGAAGTATGGTGAGATTAAAAATATATGTAATTATGATCTTCTTAAATGATGCACTGGGCGGGGGGGGGGGGGAGAATCAGCAAGAATAAGAAGACATTTTCTTCTTGACTGCTAAATAGCTTTTCTATATATTTTAAGATTTGTATTCCACTGACTTTTGTTGTGGAGTTTTTATATAACACATATTTTGTGAGTGCATAACTCAAATCATGTTAAGAGACCGGCTATATAGAAAAATGAAAAAAAATTAATATGCACATGTCTTTAACACATTTTACTAGTGACAGCATTTTGCTTTTGTTTAACCCCTACTATAGCATCGAAGTTCACTGTCCTAATCTCACTCATCAGACACCCACCCGCCTACCCTATTTCATGTTGCTATAGCCTCTTCTCAATCTGGTTTATGTTATTCATTTAGATTGAAGCGTAGTCATTAAACAGTTGTGCTTTTTTGATTAATTATATATTAGAGATTAGGGAATCTGTCCATTTCAGTTTCTTGCTTTTCCAATCTTTTCAGCTGTCCTAATTTCACATCAGTTTGTGATGTTTTTATTTTTAAAAGGTCTCATGAAAATATGTACACATTTTTGCAAGCAATTTTCTTGAAATTGTTTCTCTATGCTAACCAGGAAGTGCTATCTCCAGTCAATGGAATGACTATTCCTATCTCTGCGGCTGTGACCTCCTGGGTGATGCAAATGCCATTAGGCAGTTCAATGTGCATGTGTACTCCGTTCATTTCCCTCCTTCCCACTTCTGCCTCCCGTGTGGCCCCAGGCACTGGCAACCCATGCTACGTCACTGCCAGAGGGTAGTAAGTGGAGTGAGAGAGTGTTATGATCAGGATGCAGGCCTTACATTGCACGCAAGTCTCTTCTAAATGAACTAGAGCCGTGATCTCCAGTGATGCTCCCAAACACTAAAGGATCAAAAGGAAGCTGCCCTGAGCAGACAGGGTGCAGGCGATGTGGTTGTGGTGAGGATTCCACATTTCTCTCATGTATAGAAACAATTATGGAATAGAAGGGTATTATAAATTTCATCCCTATTTCACAGCCCTTGACACGAATCTGAAAACAAATTTTTGATTTATTAATGCCATCCACGCCACTTCCCAGACAAAGGAACTGGACAGGGGGAAAAAAGAGACTGCAATTCTGTGCTCCGAATAGCGTTTTGAAAGCCTCTGGGTATTTTTTAATATCACGCTTCTCAATGTTAATCTCTAAAGATCACTGAACTTGCATTAAATCTACAGATAAATAATGTTACACAGTATTACGGAGGTGATAAAATGTGGAAAGCTGCCGTAACCTTCTAGGTGGATTTTCGTGTCTAGGAAAGAGGAACTTTACAATGCTGGACTACCATTTGCAGGTGGGGGCAATCTGTCAGTACAAAGGAATAATGTAAGGGCATTTAGCAAGTTGCTCTCTTTTGTGCTATTGGGTGGGCTTAACCCACAGGTCTCTAGGACTCATGGCTTGCCAAGGCAAAGGCAGCTTACCAACCCTAGACTGGGGCTTGCTGGGTCTTTCACAATAACACCTTTTTTCTGTTCCAGGCAGGCTGTAAAACCAGTTTTCACTGAGCCTTTGGTAAATGGCTGGTGGCTCTCAAAAATGGGAGTTTGAATGGGGGCTGCTTTAATAAAGGCAGTGGTGTTCACAATTTCCAGCCCCACTCCCCGTTTGAATAATTGTCTGACCCCTAAAGGAGGGCTGAGCTCTGTTCCACTCCAGGAACCGAGTTGGGATCACATGAGCCTGAAACTCACCATGACTTGAACCTGATAACTAAACCAGGGCTGGGCACTGTGGTGACCTGCAGATGTTCAACGCCAGGCAGTATGGCCAACGGTTACAAAAGATGGGAGCTGTAGCATCTGGAGTGTACCATGAAGTCTACCTCTCAACTAAACCATGGTTTGGGTCAGGTGTGATGACCCAGTGGCCCTCCATATTTTCTTGGACACCGATTCCCATCAGCCCCAGCTAGCATGGCCAAGAGTTGGGGATGATGGGAGTTCTAGTCCAACAAATTCTGGAGGGGCACAGGTTCCACCATCCAGGTTTAGGTGATTAACAGCATCAACAGTGAGTGTTGCCTAAATAGGAATTAACCATGTTCACTTGAAGACAGGTCTGGACCACTGATGAGGCAGGGCGAGGCATCTGCCTCGAGTGGCAGAAGCCCCAGAGGTGTCATCCACCTGAACTCTACCACCCTTCCCACTATCTCCTCCTTCAGCGGTGGCACCATTTTCCACTTGGTCTCATGGAACATATGAGCTCTTATGAGACTTTGGTGAGATCTCATCAGATCTCACCGGAAGTCAGTGCCGCTGTGGGTGCTTCTCAGGTGCCGCCACACAACACAAGTAAGATGGGCACAATGTTGGTGGCAGGGCGGCATTAAGCAGGGGTGGCAACATGTTCCAGTTTTGCCTCAGGTGGTGAAACGGGATGTGCTCCCCCTGCCTGAGGGTGTCTGAAAAGTGAGGAAATATGCTGGTGTGCCCAGATATTCAGAAAACCCACCAGATGTTATCAACATTCAGCTTTGAACATTGACATTAACCAAATGCTGGGCATTCACTGTAACACACACACAGTTTGCTTTTTGTCTAGATATTGTGTGTATTTGGGCAGATATCCAAAAAGTATTCTTTAGAATATTTGTGTTGTCCTTTTAGAAGTAGCATGACCAATACATTATTTTTCTGTGATTCAAGCGGGGGAAATCAGAATCTCGTTACTTAGCTTCAAGCTGATTCCTGAAGAACTTGCTACACACCTTTTTGTTTATCAGCTTCCTCTTTAAAAAGCCAGTGCAGAAGATGAAGGCATGTGGACTTTTTGAAATCACATGTGGTGATATGTTCTATGGATGTTTATCAGACCTACAACAGCCAGGGGTGATTATACTTCTCTCTCTTTCTTTCTCTCTCTCTCTCTCTCTCTCTCTCTCTCTCTCTGCAGTTTGCTTGGCTTTTTTTAAGAGGTGTTTTTATTTTCCTTTTAACAAAATCATATTCTGATCCCAATACCTGAATTCCACATACCGTGTGATGAAATCAATATACATCTCTACAAAAGCTGGCAGTTTCTGGATTTTATTCCCTGCACATTTTCAGATATTCCCTCCCCTCTTCCCATGCTCTCATTCTTTTTTTCTTTCCCCCCCAAATACAGGCATAAATGGCGAAACTAATAATACTGTGGCATTCATCATGATCTAGCTGAAGACTAAGCAAAGTTTAGTACGTAGTAAGCTAATAAAGGGGGAGAAAAAATGAAAAAGAAAGCTTCCCCTGCTATTGAGGGGAGGGGGGCTAATGCAAGAAACACCAGATCAATATGAGTAGACCTGAGTTGAAAAAGACAAGATTTAAGATCATATCTGAAGGAACTTATTGACTTAGCTTTTCTAAACTGAATGCCAGATGTGGGGTGAATAACAAACAAATAAATGCGTGCATTGCACAAATCTTTAGCCTGTGTTTTCTTGCAGCCAATAGGATGCCTCCCTGATCTTCTGAAGCCAACAGCACAAGTTCCACAATGGGAGAAGGCCCCAGTAAACACACCACCTTCACCACTTCTAAATCATCAAGGGAATTTTCAAACCAATCTAGCGTTCATCAGTCAGTTCATTCAGGGCTCTGAAGTTCCACACTTGGAGCCAGTTTGCAGAGATGTCCACAACTAGGAGCTTATGAAGACTATTCTGGTGAACCCATTATAGGGCAATAACCTCAGGTGGGGCTGAAAGGGGATGATGGAGAGCAGGAGCTGTAAGATGAGATGGGGAGTTGGGAAAGACAAGAGGTGATTTTTTCCCCTTGGTGAGAACGGAAGGATGCAAAAACGGAGAACTAACCTGTGTTTCGGACTTTGATGCCTTGATCCTGAGAGACATTGCACTGACATGTGATGCATAAGCAGGAAAATACGCAAACTTGCAACCCTCCCTACCTGATTTCTGCACGGAGAAAAACAAAATTCCGCAATGAAAATTAATTAGAAAAAGTAAGTGCATTTGTGAACATCTGTGCTTTCCTATTTTTTAGCATGTTTCCATTAGCTCCTGGAAGAAACATGAGGCACTTGTTCTGGCCAGTGACCGAAATAAATTGATTTATTCATTCATTCATTCACACAAAGCACTGGAACACCTTGAGTAGTAGAATCATAGAATCATAGAGTTGGAAGGGACCCCAAGTTGTATACCTGATGCTGGCTTGTGAGAGATCAACCCAGATGTTTTCAGCTTTATCTCTGAATCCTTAAGGGCTAGAAATTTGCTTTAAACATTTGTGACAAATTCAAAATTCTGCACTGCCTCAAAATTGTACATTCAGGCCTGCTCCCTAGGAGAAGTATACATTCGGCTACACCACTGTAAGAGCATGACGACAATCTCGTCCAAAGGTGCCATGCAAAGTGAGTTTGTTCAGCTCTGCTTATTTGACTTGCATCCTGTCCACAGGATCAGAGCCTCACAAGCTGGTGCTTTTGTTCTGCACCAGGTTACACCCTCTATTCCTTTTAAGCAGCATGGAACAAAGGGCACCCTGGCCAGGTTTCGAGCTGCCTCTGGATTTTGGGTGGTTCCTGATGAAGACAAATGGAAATGACTCCCACTTTGCCAATAAGCAATGTGGCAAACACAACCAACCAGGAACTGTGGGAAGGGTCGCAGCATAAACACATGCTTTGCACACACAAAATCCCAGATTTGGTTTCTGGAGTCTCCAGTTTTGTTTTGAGATGATGGAGCTTTTGAGAAAGCCCAAGACTCCAGGGAGCTGCTACCAACCAAGGAGAGCTCCTCAACCAAGGGTCCTCTAGATGTTTTAGGTGGCAGCCCCATGCAGGACATTGCAATGACACTCAAGTGTAACTTCCTGGTGGATTCTGCCCAATGGATCAGATGTATGTGTCTCCTGCCCAGCCACTCTCAAAGCACCCTTCAGTTTATCTAGTAGCAGAACCAGCCCCATCTGCCCTCCTATTGCATGATGTTTCACCAGCATCTCTGGTTTGTTTACATAGCACTCTGCTAGGCTATGTGAACTAGCTATGCTAGTCATACTTTACTGTGACTGATCATCTGGGGGGTGGGCAGGCTGTTTGGATTATCGGGCTGCAGGATCAAAGCATCATGGTGTTGTTGTTTTTAAAAAGGGGAACTGGGCCACTCTTTAAATAACTCTCATTTGTTAGGATGGCACCACAAAGTCTGCTTCCAAATGAGCAGAAGAGAGACAGAAATAAAGTGGAGTTGTCATGGGCAATGGTGATTGTTTAACACAAATTGATTTAAGGCAGAAATAATAGGAAGCAGAGGGAACGATGATGAGAAATGGAGGAGCCTGGTGCAGAGGCAGAGGAGCAGATAGACAAGAAGCGGGGGGAGGGAGGAGGAGTTTGATTCAGCAAGTGGAAAGGCAGAATTGTGTTCTCTGGGGGGCAATGTTCAGCCTATGCTGTCTCTGTTTTAATATGTTGTGAAATGTGCGCAGTCAACTATTGACAGATGACCATTGCAGCACAGTGGATTGTGAATCAGATTGGGATCAGGGACACCTCGGTGCAAACCCACGCAGTCATGAACCTTCCTTGGACCAGTCCCTGCCTCTGTCTCCCTAGTGGGGCTGTATTGAGAACAAAACATATCATATCCTGAGCAATTATTCCAAATACTGTCAATACTAAATGTGGTTATTGCAAACCTTTTGCTTTTACAATCTATACCAGCAGCTAAAGAAGCTGCAACCAGCTTTTGCTTCCTTACACTGACATTTCAATATTGTAAATAGTTGCACTGAATAAAGATCTTTGTACACCCGAAGTGGTATTCACCTTACTTTTGCTTCATTGTTAAGATCTCTGGATCTTTGGAATCCCTGCTGTAATGAATTTTTAAAAACACGAGTTCCAAAAATGTGCATCAGGCTAAACTGCTGTTTATATGCAATGTTATGTATAGAAAGTTGAATTAATTTTCATCTCATGTGGGGAGGGTGGAGAGAGTGTTCCTGCTTTCAAATTACATCTGACAATAGGCTTTTAACAGTTTGGGATGCTTTCACTATAAGAATGGAATATTATAATCTTTCATAATGGATTTTTAAAAAACCTATTTTGAAATGTATTTTGTCACTCTACAGAAGTGGGATGCTTTAAATGAAGCATTAGAATTAGGAGCTACTAAGAAATGCTGTGTGTTGATTCCACTCAGCCTCACGCTAGCGAAAACCAGATAGGAATGCAATCTGCGTGCAACCCTTTAACATCCAAATTCCAGGCTGTGTGCATCTCTGAATTACAACCAATTAGAAATACTTCTCTTCTTCTTAAAAAAACAAAAAAAACCCCCCAAATTTGTTGAGATATCAATCTAAAAGCAAGCGAAGGGCAGAATTCAACCAGGACAGTTTTATTTTATTTTTAATTTACTGAAAATGTTTCTAACCCATTACTGTGATACATGGCTGGTTGTTTTTCTGTGGTTTCCTAATATATTGAATGTGCTTTGTATGCTGTATATATTTCTATTAATAAAAGAAGGAAAGAAAAGCAACGATTTCTAACCTGCCTTTCATTGCAAGGCAATGCTAGGGTGGGATGCAACATCGCAAATTGAAACCAGCCACCACAATTACAAAGGGGAAAGGAAAAATGAGCAGATAAATTCGCGGCAAAAGCAGCAGTGCCTCTGTAACAGGGGCCAGAAAACTTTTGAGCCCAAGGGCAATGTTCCAGGGGTCACTTACCAGCGGTGGGAGTGGTGAGAAGCAAAAGTGGGTGGAGCCAGGGCTTTCAGTCAGAACTTGCAGGAAATCAGTTCTGGCACCTTTCAGGTGGGTTTCAAAACCTCTTAGGTGGCTGCCACTCATTTTATGAGAACGAGGGAGGTGTCCATGGGGAGTTCTGGCACCTCTTTTGCTGGGAAAATAGCACAAGTTGGAGCAACAAATGTAAATTCTACAGAAATGCTAATTTCCACACACCCCCCCAACACCCTCTCTCTTGTCCATCCAGGAAGCAAAAGGCCTTATGAGAGTTCAGAGACACATTCCAGCCTGCCAGAAGCACTTGAGGGTGCAGAGTATGGCCAATGAGGAGTGCAGCCTGGGGTAGAGAAAGGGTGGTAGTGAGAGACACACAAACAGACAGGCTGGGGAGGGGCCAACCCATCTCTCTCTCTCTCTCTCTCTCTCTTTCTCTCTCTCTCATTCTGCCACCCCCTTTTTCATTTCACCCTTTCTGACAGGCCTTTCTTTCTTTCTGCCAGGTTGCTTGAGGAGTAACAAACACTCCTGTCAGAAGTCTGGACTGACCCCTTAGGCTGAGGGCCCTTGGTTGTCCACACCTGAGCTATAAATGGTTGTCCCCATTTCTTCCAAGTTTATTTTCATTGTCATATGTCCTGATAAGGTCCTTCCACTCCAGTAAAACGCAACATTTAAGGTTCTCATTATGCAATATATCTCCTGTACTTGTGTGGTGGAAAGCAGAAGAAGGGGGTCGCAGGTGTGGCAATGTAAATAATTGCAAGAGGAGGCTGCTTACTCATGTAATTTCCTTCAGTCATGAGATTATTCAAAGCAGTGTCTCTTTCCTCCATAACAATGCCCATTCCGATATAAGCTCCTTGGTGCGTTGGACCTTGTGGTTCCTCCATCTCAGGGATGCTGTCATTTGCCTTTGAGCTGAAAGGGGTGATGTCTCCATTATTCCGTAGGACTCAGATGAAATGGAAGCCTGACCAGTGTTCTCACCCGTATCACTCGTGTAGGCAAACATGTTCATGGTGTGCAACACAGCTGGAAACAGCTCTGGTGGAAAGTCAGCGCTGCCCTCAGGCTTCCAACAAGAACAGACACTGGTGCTTAGGACGCAGGGCACAATTCTGCACAGCAGTGTGGCAGAATATGAAAGAATGGCACAGCCAGCAGTGCATCCATCACCCAGCCCTAACAGAAGGTAAGGGACAGGGTGGCACCAGTTTCCAGGCTGGCACTGTAAATAGACTGGATCAGGCCACTTTCCCTCAAATGATGGCAGCATGGTTAGCTCAGCACAGGCCCTGAAATGCCCTTTTATGGGGCTACTACTGACAAGAATGCCACCTGCAGTAAACTCTGCGTGCCCAACATTTGTATGGGCACAATGGGGCACACATTGCACCTGAAGCTTCTCTGCTGACAGTGAAGCTCCCCCACCAGCAAAGCTCACTTGAGGGGACACCTCACCCCACCCAAGCCCCTTCCAGCACTGTGGATTGGGGGGTAGTATTGCTCTGCCTGGCATTTATATTAATATAAAACACAATTGAGGCATAGAGCCTCTAACAAGTCACCTGTGTATTCATAACACAAACAACATCATGGCCTTCTTCTTCCCATGTTGCCTCTGGATGGCTCCTCCTACAATTATTAACTCATTGCTCTCCCAGTAAGTACCATTACATGCACTTTACCATGGAACTGTATATGGATTTTCAGTCTCAAAAGATAGATTTTCATTTTTATTTTGAAGTGAAGTGGGGAGGAATCAACAAAACAACATTTCACTAGAACCAGCTTTCAGTTTGCTTAGCCTCCGAAAAGAAATTTCTGACAGAGAGCATAAACTGACAACCTGGTGCTTCCAAGAGAGCTGGCAAGGAAATAAATAGACATCTAGAGCTCAGACACCATTAGGGTATCATGTCAGGCATCACTGCCCAAGGAGAGAATTTGTTTGCCTTCATCTTCGTCCAGAGTATTATACTTCAGAGCAACAGGGCACCAGGATGGAAGTTGGGGAGAGATGCCCTTAACAGGGAGCAGTGGAGCACTTCAAAGCTCTTGAGGAGGGAATGATAGCTTTCTGTCTCTGAAGTGGAAAGCAAGGATCAAGGTACTCATAATCGCGTCCACAGCTGCCTGACATTGACTGAAGATGTCAGGTCTGGAGGAATGCTTTTTCTCAAGGGAAGCTGAGACCACAAGGCTTGACAGTTCAGCAACCGTAGCGACAAGCCCTGGCTTAAGTTGTTGCAACCTAACTTCTACCACTCAGCATCACACTGCTTTCTCACAGGCCTCATCATGTCCAAACACTCAAGGTACGTCTCCCTTTGGAAGAAGGAATCAAAAACTACCTAAAAGAAAAACCCAGAGAAAATGTCATTGCAATGCCTTACTGCTAGGAGTCGCTGTCTTAGCCGTTTTTAACGGCACAATCCTATTGATTCCAGCATGACCAGGGATCACACTGTACCTGTGCCATTAATTTTGGATAATACATTTTTTCTGTTAACACCCCATTCACTATTATACTTGCAAATTACTTTGTATATATTGCATTTATTCACCTCACAAATTTCTCTCGCATTCCCATTCAATCCAATAGCTTCCCCCCAAAAAATCCAGGAAAGATTATCAAAAGCTTTTTCTGTATCTAGTTGTTTATCAAAGGCATAATATTTATGTCATTACTCTGAATTCAAAAATCTGAAGCCCCAGTGTAAAAGCAATAGAGATGAGCCCATAGTTCATATGTTGGAGCATGCAGGAGGTTCAAGCTTCAATTCCCACAGCAAGGACCAAGTAGCAAGTGAGCTGTTGCCAGTTAGAGAAGACCAAACTAGACTAGACAGACTAATAGTCTCATCTGGTATAAACTTCCTAAAGCTGATGATGAGGATGTTGAAGATGACTAAGATTAATAGGCACTACATCAAAATTAAGAAAACAGGTGCTGCACACAGGCTAATATAAAGATACCTCTCCACTCAGCACATAGAATCATAGAATTGGAGAATTGGAAGAGAACCCCCAGTGGTCATGTAGCCCAGCCTCCTGTAATGCAGGAATCTCAGCTAAAGCATCCGTGACAGATGGCCATCCAACCTCTGCTTAGAAACCTCCAAGGAAGGAGAGCCCACAACCTCCTGAGGGAGACCATTCCATGGTTGAACAGCTCTTACTGTCAGAAAGTTTTTCCATATGTCTAGTTGGAATTTCCTTTCTTTTAACTTGAAGCAGGAGAAAACAAGCTTGTCCGCTTTTCCATGTGACAGCCCTTGAGATATTTGAATAAGGCTATCATATCTCCTCTCAGTCTCCTCATTTCCAGGCTAACCACACCCAGCTCTTTCAAGCGCTCCTTTTAAGGTTTGGTTTCCAGACCCTTGGTTTCCAGTCATATCATTGGTCCCTTTCCCTCAGTATTGTCTACACTGAGTGGCAGGGGATCTCCAGGGTTTGAGACTGGACATTCCCAGCCCTCCCTGCAGATGCCAGGCATTGAACTTGTGACCTTCTGCATTCAAAGCAGATGCTCTCCCCCTGAGCTGTGGCCCTTCCCTAAAAGAAAGCAATCAAGCATTTCTTTCTCCCTCTGCAGCACTGCAGTCCAGGAGCAGATCAGATCAGATGAGACTTTATTTGCTGCCTTTCCACAAGGGACGTTGTGTTCAAAGCAGCCAACGAATAAGCAAATAACAGTGGCACATAATAATATTCAATAAATATTTCCTTTGTAATGCAATGGCAACATTTCAATAATGTCGCAATAGCAACTCATGAAAAAAACGAAAGCCTAAAATCTCTGCTTTGATATTGAAATCTAGCTTACGTCTCCGTAGGCTCCTGATTCTTGCCTAGCCTTGAGATGTCACAGTTTAAGCGGGGAATCAGAATGCAGTCTGAATAGGGATTCTGTTGTCCCTGCTATGTTACAACATGAAGGGGAATTGGGTGCAGCCTTGCAAGAAATGTTACGAGGATGGGGACAGATGGAAATAGCTCCTGGTATTGTAACTAGTCAACAATTGCTTTCCCAGCCTCTACCAGAGGTGACACAGTTCCACACTGTCAACATTGCTCATGGCCAGGATATTTGTCTTCTGACAGTCAAGCACAAATAGCTTCTTTAAGGCAATAAATAAATAAACCAGAAGCACACACACACACACACACATCTCAGCATAACAGGTCCTCAGCTGGTACAAATCAGCCATGATAGCTCTGCGGGTATCAATGGTCCCATGCCAGTTTCTCCAGCTGAGGACCTGGCCTTATAAATCTATGAAATATTAACCTGCCTTTATGAGTGTTCCAGAATGAAACAGTAGATCAAATGGGTTGGGTTGTTTTTTTAAAAAAAGAACTGCAATATACAGAAGCAAATATTTACTGCGCCACATTGCAGTTGACAATACCTGAAGTTGTTGCAAGTTATTTTGAGAGCAGACAAACAAAATTATGTCCACAGTCATAAAAGGGGGGACTTTCCTTCTCACTATCCTTCTTATACATGCCATTCCAAGATCTTCCCTGCCATTCCCCTCCCTCCCCCCACTACACAGCCTTCCATCTACCAAGTGTTCTTCACTGCAAGGCAGATTGATTAGTCCTTTCAGCACATGACTGGTTGAGTGGGGACCAATGACAGGCATATCAGAGTTACTTGCTCCTGCTTAAAGGGTCTGGAAAGGGAGGTAGGGCCACAACTCAATAGTAGAATATCTACTTTGTTCAATCACTTGCACCTCAAGGTGGGGGTGGAGAGATCCTTGTCTGAAATCCTAGACAGCTGCTGCCTGTCACTGTAGACAACCAATATTCTGACTCAGAATAAGGCAACTTCCTTCGTTCCTATACTACCCAGTAGTGGCATTCAAAGAGGAACAGGAAGTATAGCTACGTTACACTATCTCATTTTCTCTGGACTCCACACAGATAACTTACATGTCTGTGGCTGCTGTAGGCTGCTGTAACAGAAGATGTCATTGCCGCAGCTATAGACTGAGAAACAGATGTTGCTAATTCTCTGAAGCCTGCAGATGGAAGGAGAAAAGAGTAGGCTTTGGACGCATCTGTCCTTTGGAAGTATAGATTTAAAAGAATGCTCTGCTGTGTTTTGCACAGGCTGTTACGTGCACAGGTGCTTTATTTCACTGGTGGCAGTTGCGGGCATGATCTCCCTGGCCCAGCCATTCTCAAGCTTTGCTGCATGTAGCAAGTGGCCGCTGCTGGGAATGCATCTACAAATCCAATCGGATCCAACCCAGAAGCTCATCTAAAGGCACATTTGCATCTACAGATGCATGTAAATATCCCTTGCCGGATCTAGGTCAGGGGTGGAGAACCAGGTGCTGTCAAGCTCCAACTTCCATATACACCAGCCAGCATAGGCAATACAGTGCAACATTTGGAGGGCCACAGGGTCCATAAATGAGTTCCAAACACATAGTTACAGCAAATAATATCCAGTAATAACCACACTGTATACCCTTAACAGCAAGCTCAAAGTGGGATGATCCCATAAGTAACAGAACTGTGGAAAAGCATAGTATACTTGCAGGAAACATACAATACTATTGTTCTAAATGTACAGGATGCATGAGGCCCAAGACTCTTGTTTCAGCTCTGCTCTGTCTATATGGTCTTAGATCAGCTCACATCTGCTGTACACTTCAGATCCTGGATGGAACCCAGATTCTATGTGTGTGTGTGGCTGGTTTCCCCATTCACATCAATGGGTTGAGCTGGTTCCACATGAGCCAAGAGTGAGAAATCTCAAGCTTGGGGACTGAATGTGGCCATCAGGACTCTTCCCAGTCCACACCCATTCCCAGTCCACACACCTTAGTCCCTGGGCTACAGCTCTCAATAGCTATAATCCACACCTTACTCAAGTACTTTGGCCTGGCTGGAAGGTGTCCTGTGATAACACCTCTTGCTTGACTTGATGGCAAATAGAGAAATGTGTGTGAGGTGTATGTGAAAATCTCTGACTTTTACTGTATTAAGGTAAGGGTAGCACCTGTTGCTCTGATCACCACCAGCATGTGGCTCCTGAAAGATCGCCCGTGAGGAAATGCCACCCTCAGACTAAATGCACTTCCTCGACTCCTGACATAAGCAAACAGGTTCATGAACAGAACCTCTCCCTCAGATGTTGTGAAAGTGGAAGCCCTTGAAGGCAGAAGAGCACTGTGTGTGCATAACTGTCAAGTTCTGGTCCAATGATGGATCCCATAGAAAAGGGGGCAAGTCACCAGGTCATGGCTGGAAAGAAGTTTCAGAACCAAGGATAGCTCCAAGTGAGCAATTGGCTACAGCAGACTGAGGCCCTATAAGCCTCTGTCACCAAACTGGCTCCATGCTCCATCTACTTGTGAAGAGCCTTAAATGGCCAACCCCCTGGCCTGAAGACAACCTCCCCTCCTCTGTTGCAGAACTTCCTTCCTGGTGCATTTCCTGTACTTCCGGACAATTTATGTGAGATATGTGTGGCGCTGTGGGTTAAACCACAGAGCCTAGGACTTGCCGATCAGAAGGTCAGCAGTTCAAATCCCCACGATGGGGTGAGCTCCCGTTGCTCGGTCCCTGCTCCTGCCAACCTAGCAGTTCAAAAGCACATCAAAGTGCAAATAGATAAATAGGTACCACTCCGGCGGGAAGGTAAACAGTGTTTCCGTGCGCTGCTCTGGTTCTCCAGAACCGGCTTAGTCATGCTGGTCACATGACCCGGAAGCTGTATGCCGGCTCCCTCGGCCAATAAAGCGAGATGAGCACAGCAACCCCAGAGTCGGCCACGACTGGACCTAATGGTCAGGGGTCCCTTTACCTTTACTTATGTGTGAATCCATCTGGCTCTATAGGCTAAGGGGAAGGCACCTGTGGGTCCAGGCTCTGGCCCCAGAGGTCCTGGTGGTGTAGGAAGTTCCCCTGTCCCTCAATTGCAATGGTGCTCTGATCCCCAGCGGCTAATTCAGAGCCCTGAACCAGCTCCAGCCCTGAACCAACTCTAGCTCCTTAGCTGGTGCCTTTGCAGCCTTCAACTCTGTGTTTGGACTGGGATCATAAAAATAACCGCAAATGCATCTCCAGCAAGCCACAGGATTGGGACATGGAGATACGTTTTCACTAGCTTTTCTGCAGCAAGTATCATTTTTATTTTTAAAAAAAGATAGGATTGAGAGACCCTTTGGGGATTATTATTTTGTTTTGTAAGCAGTCACTTTGGGACAATTCCAAATCAGGAATCTAGATGCAGGATTTCTACTGTAAACACTCCCAAAGACCTATCTGAGAAGCAGGAATGGGGAAGAAAACTGGGTTGGCATGGGGAACAAAAGCCAAAGGGAGAAAAACAATAGGATGAAGCGAATGATAATTCCTACAAAACAAGAGCTATGCTTGCAAACATTCTCCTGGGCGTAGTCCTTGGAAGAGCTAAATCCAAGTCCCAATGGGAGTCTCTTCATTGATTTTCTAGCTGTCTTTGGACGAGGCCTTTAAGTATTATGTGAACAGAGAATGCATCCATGCCGGAGCTCTTAAGCACTAATTAGTGGCATCATTTTAATGCTTCCAGCTTTCTACATTAAAAGCACAATCCCTGCACTCTTATTGTCTCTTGGCAAAGTGATCCAAATGAAAATGAAACAAAATTTCATTTCCTAGGCTCATAAAAGGATGCATCCGTTTCTCGTGCTTTTTCCTGCCATTAGAATCTCTTTGCCGAAATAAAAAAAGATTTTAAAAAATATTGCGTTCTCTTTTTTTTTGCTCTTAAGAAGACTGAGTATAGGATTATCACAAAAATTAATCAACATGGTGACTGCTTTGGGACCAATCCACCATGCATCCACTGTTCACTTCCACACAAATATAGGAAAATAAATGAAGGCTGCCCGGAGGCAGTGCTTAGCGGATTACACACTCAGTCTTTCGTTTCCCTTCTCCATGTATCACTTATTAATAACTTTCCTTTGGGCAACATGTTTGTTAATAATGCGTAGCCTGTTTTCATTTCTGCATAGTGTACTTTGCATCTATAATACAACATCAATCTCAGAATTCAGGTGCCAGTTTTATTCCACATGCGGAGGGTTGGCTTCATGGACAGTTTGCCAGCTCTGGCTTCCCACCTGGCATTGCTAAGAAGGCAAGAAATCACAATCACAGTAACTGGAGGGTTTTATGATGTTTTGGAGAATTAGCTCATCTTTCCATTACTTGGCAGGCAAACACTGAACACTGCTTGATCAATAACCACCATTGCCAGAGGTCCCTTACCGTCTCCAACAGCTAACAGGAAAGCGTTGCTATAGGCTATGGAACTAGAAGTATAAAATGGTGAACGGCAGTAATAATTCATGCATCTTGGGATGTATAAAACCAATGGTTTGTCAATATCTCGGGCATGCTCTGCAGAAAATATGCAGCATTCAGATGCTGCAGAAACCTCTATTATACTATAAAGCAAATATTTCACGGTGAAATATATCCTCTCCTTCTTTGTTATTCCCCCCCCCCTTTCTTTTTTTCAGCTGCACAATGAG